AATTAAATTCGGCTGCTCACAGTGTTTCATAAAACCAGTTCTTGTAAAACTCCTGGAGGATTTCCCATTACCCGTAGTTTTCTGTAAATGAAGAAAATCTTTCATTCCAAAAGCGCCCCTGCTTTAGGGTCAAGAGTACGTTTATTTATCAGTTAGGCTCTTGTCAGATCAGGACAGATCCTGTCAGATTTCTAGGTAATTGCGATTCCCGCTGTCGCAGTGGCGATTTGCCCATAGATGGCAGCATTGGTTGTTCCTTTGTCGTACTGACGGTATTTGCATTTACTGTATTTGTTCCGTTGCAGAAGATTCTGTAGTTGAGTAAGGCCACAAACTCCAACTGAAGAAGCAGTTAAAGAAAACTTACTGACTCATCTCTCAGGCTCTCTATGAAAATTAAAAGCGAGCCTGACTATATTACTAGAAGTTGTAAAAATACAAGTTGATACTTTTTAAATTCAGCTGTTCAAACCTGACAATGTTATTGTAGCCAGTAGCACCCATTTTGGCATGTCTGGGTATTTTAAGGTATCTTGCCTTTGCAGATGGGGCATTAAAGTGCACAGAGCCAGCAGCATGAAGCATTCCTGAGTCCATGAAACTCAATGAAGATATTAAAGGAAAGGATGGGGACAGTGGTTTCCCCCTAATCACATGATTTTGTGACTTAGTAGCTATGAGATGGTTGTCCTTGCTATAGTTGTTTTAAAATTGAGATTAAATGATAGACATAAAAAACTTAGCAGCAGTTTCAATGGCAGTGAAACCATCTCTTCCCCAGAGTAAGATAACAAGATGCGCAGTTCTGTGGACAGAACTAGTGTGTGAACATAAAGTATGACTGACAAGTTTTAGTGCCACCGTATGAATCTGAGGACTAGCAGGTGTTTGCTTGTTTTGAGTGCTTGTCATGGCAGGCATTGCCTCCAACAAATCTGTCCTTTTTGTCTGCATTTGTACTGCAGCTTGTCCTCATGGGTGACTTAGGCAGTAGAGTCACATGATTTAGAAATAGAAATAGTGATCTCAGTGCCACTTCTGAAGTAAGCAGAAATGGCCAGAGCAGTGTGATACTATTTTCTGACTTTTGTGTAGACAAAGAAGCAGATCTTGTATCATCTTGGTTTAGATCTCAAGTTTTACAAAAATGCTCTAGACCTTGGACGAATTACCAAACCCTGCTTCGGTTCTCTGTGACCAAAATGGGACAGTAGATCCTCCCTGCCTTCCAGTTTAGCCTGACTTGTCAAGCAGTGTGAGCTCTTTAAGGTGTGGGTTGTCTCCTGTGTCAATGCATATCATAAGCCTTGATCTTCATGAGAGTTTTGCATGAATAAAAACCACGGAAGAGGGACTCTCATGTGTGCTATGTATGGGGGGAAATGGTGTATGAGCTGCTGAAAGTAGCCAGATTCCCCCATACTTAAATGCTTCTTAGCAGTCTTCTAACTGTTCTCAGGCTTTGAGCTCACTGGCCCCATCTATAAAGGTTATGAATGTACCCCCGTAGTACAATGTAGAAGAAGAAACCTGTGAGGCACAGAGAATCCTGTTTCAGTGGTTTGGCTTGTTCAGGAAGTCTGCAGCAGAGCTGGAAGTTGAATCCCTGAATCCTACCTTTAAAGGGGAAGCTGAGAACAGATGGTTCCTTAGCATCTCCAAGAGATGCTAACAGCATAACAACATAACAGCAGCCACATCTGCTGAGCACTTTCAGGTGATGACTCATTCTTAATTTCTCCAGACATGGTGTCTGTCATAGGAAGAACCTGTGTCTACCATTTCAGTCCTTCCCTTCTCAAAATTTTCTGCTGTCTCGGCTGACTGTCAGCAGTGGGGCTCCTGAGCAGTACTAGTACTGAGATGACCACCCTCTAGCTTCAAACATGCGCAGAACCCTTGCAAGTCTGAAGTTTTCTTAAAATGTTTTCAGGCTCTGGATTGAGAGACTTGCTCTGTGGGATCGCTCTGGGACTGTGACAGATGGAGAGCCTGTCACCCAGCATGTGGTAAATTGAATCTATCCGGCTCCACTCAAAGTTGTTTTGAGAGGCTCTGAGATTTTCTCAGAGGGTGGGTGAAAATTTCTTTGTTATGTAACAGATTATGAAATATCTGGAAGGACAGTTCTGTTTTATCATACTCTGCAAGCAGCCTTAGAGGACTTGATCTGTGTAAAAGTTTATGTCTCATCCAAAATGAAGTTCAGTCTGAATGAGGATGTTGCTATGGGGACCATAATCATAAGATCTGTTTACAAGCATTTAATTATTATATTCATAAAGGATAAGAACATGGAATATGGCAGAATGTCTCAGAGGTCAGAAATACCTGCTTTAGGGGAATATACAAGAGATACCATCATCTCTAAGCCTATAAGATTATTTTCCCTAGAGCTCTTACTGGTTAGTAGTTATGTATTACAGCTGTTTTTTCATAAAAATAAATTAAAATGAAACACAGTGTTTTCAGAAATATTTTTAATATTCCTGTAAAACAGGAAAAACTTCTGTCAAACAGCAAACACTTCTGTCAAACAGCTGCAAAGATGATACACAAATGTGCGGGAATGAATAATGCCATGAAGATTGTCTTCTAAATCCAGAATGCTTGTTCTAAACCACCTTTACATAAAGTACAGGAATATTTCACTGAAAAGCGTTTTAAAGTTATTGTGGTACAAAAAGTGAATTGTGCATTTCTGTAGAGCATAGTGCATTCATTGCATAGTAGTACATGTGTAGTAATTAAAATCAACGTGAAAGGCCAAATACCAAATGAAGGTAAGAAAATTATGAACTGGCTGATGACCCTTGACAAAACTGTGGAAATAGTCTTTCATATGCCACATAAAAATAGTAAATGCAGAAGGTATGGAGAATAATACTTATTGGAAGGCTCAAATTCAGTGAGTTTAAGACAAAACATTGATTTCTGTTTATGTATATACCAATATAAGTCCAGGGTTTCTTCACTAATTTAGCATTACTCTGGATCTCTATAAATAAGTTTGAAATGAGCATCTAGCTAACGTAATAAATTTCATTTCTGTCTTTTCCTGACTTCCAGCAGAATATCTGAAGGCAGAAAGGAAAAATGGCCCTTGACCTTAATTATAATTGCATTGCAGTGGCTTTTTCTAAAAGTCATGCTTTTAATTTGTATTTAATCCCTCGTTCTTTCTGAACCATAAACCCTCTCATTTGTAATTAATATAAACAACTATTTTATTGTCTTGTTTTTAATGCAGTTTTGTATTCAAATGCATGAATATTTTCTCCTTTCCTGAAACCAATGAAGTTTTAAAAATATGTACAATTCAGTTAAATATATGCTGTTATAATTTCCTATGTTTAAAAGTTATTCTCTCAATGCACATCTAACCACTTCCATATGTATCACCTTCTAGGTAAAAGACTTTGAAGTAGTACTATAGAAGTGAGTACAATCTTATCAACTTGAACAGCAGATCTCTGCTCAAATCCACTCAAACTCACACTAGCAGAAACGCTTTTTACAAAAGAAATAAACTGTACAGAGAGGTATTTATTCTAATTTAAAGATCTGATTCAGCCCCTACTGAAGCAAGTGGGACTTCTCACAGATTGGTTCAAATCCTAGATAGGAATTACGAGATTAGTTAATCAATGGAAGGGATCAGGGGAAGATGAAATGTATGTGTGTAGCCACAATGCATGCACAGTCATTTCATCTGGCGAAGTATTGTATTTCTTTTTAAATGGATGCAGAATGAAAGAATACTGGTGCTATCTACAGGTGTTCAGATTGCTGGGAAAAATTAATATTCCATCCTGCTCTGAAAGAGAATAAACTAGGGTTTAAAGGCATCCTATTCTTTCTTTCAGTTTCTTGATTTAAGGTATCTAATGATGCTGGTATAAATTTCTGGGCTGGAGTGATGACTAGAAATGGTTCTACATTGTTTGAGCAACCAAAGGTAAACAAATTGTGGCCTTTCACACAAAAGCATAACTACTGTAGAAAATACTGATTTGCAGTCCAGAAGCCAGTAGTACACAACAGTATGTAAGGGAAAACTAACCTTCCAGCCACACCAGCAAGATCTTAGATCTTTATAGTCACTCTCTGGAAAGTAAAGCTAATTCCTAAGGCTGCCGCCTCCTTGTCACAGTCCCAAAATATTTTCCTAACAATTAATATACTATTACACAGAAACATGTATATTGTCCATGGCAATTTAACAGCAGTGCTACAGTGCTGAGTGGTTGTTTCTCCAAACCGTCAGCCAGATTTAAATGATTTGCTGTCCTGGCTCCAGCTGGGATAGAATTAATTTTCTTCCTAGTAGCTGGTACAGTGCTGTGTTTTGGATATACTGTGAGACTAATGTTGAGAACACACTGATGTTTTAGTTGTTCCTATGTTCTGCCATGTTCTGCCAGTGAGGAAAACTGACACAAAAAGCTGGGAGGGAGCATGGCCAGGACAGTAGACCAAAACTAGCCAGAAAGGAATATTCCCTACCATAGAATGTCATGCTTAGTATATAAACTGGGGTGAGCTGGCTGGGAGAGGGAGATCACTGCTCGAGCATCGATCACCAGGTGGTGAGCAATTGCATTGTGCATTACCTGGGTGATATTTCTCTGTTTTTTGGCATATGCCTTTCCATTACTCTTATTAATTATTATTATTATTATTGCTATTAGTTTAGTTTAGTTATTGAACCATTCTTACCCCAACCCATGAGTTTACTTTTTTTTCTAATTGTCCTTCCCATCCCACTGGGAGTGGGGAGGAGCAAGTGAGCGGCTGCGTGGTGCTTAGTTGCTGGCAGGGGTTAAACGTGACACCCAGGGCACGTTAAGCAAGGTTTTGAAATGCCTTAGAAATCAGAGTAACCTAACAAAGCATGTAATACAACACTTGTCTGTGCTGTCTTGACATCTCTTTAAATCAATTGCTGAGGGGTCCCTGGAGTCCAAGGGGAATAGCCACACAGAACAGTTGTGTTGCAGTCAGTTGGAGTCCATTGCTTGAAGGTTCTGAAGGACTTCCAGCACAACTTCATAACAGAATAAATATTCATCCTGCGGAGACATCAGTGTGAAACACCTGGTTACATTCAACACATATTCTAGACAAAGAAGGATGAACTGGCTGAAGTGCTGTCTATAACATCAACATCTTCGTAATATGGATACAAAAACTTAGATTATAGCATCCTTGTTCTTATTCAGGGCAGTACCTGTAAGCATGTGCTCAAATCTCATTTAGGTCTGTGAAGGCTATCTGTTTGCTTCATTTTAATTACTCGCTCAATCATTATCCTGAAGAAAAATATATCAAAACACACTAAAATATTTGCCTATAGGAAGAACTTATCTGAATCTTGTCTTGCTTTTGTTCCCGCCACTTCTTTGCTCTGATTGGCCACATCATGTCTTTTCCTGTGTGAAAACTCTTTTTAGGGGTAGGTTTAAGTCAGCAGTAGGAGGTTTTTCTGAGGTGATGATAACTCAGCAATAGCAAAGATTCAGCTGAAGACTGCAGTTTTGCAGGGTAGAGTTTATGGTATCTCACCATCCCTGCTTTTCTTTTTGCTAAACAGAAGGGGTAGGGGAGCTGCTATCTGAACTATATTGATGCAATGCTTTTATTTCAATTAATTAGTGAAGGGACAGAACTTTCATATTTAAATCTAGATACCACCTTTTTGTGCTGTTAGTTTCCCTAAATGAGAGGGCTAAATTATGCTTTGAGCCCCATATCAAAGCCACTAACTGAAGCTTTTAAAAATCATGATCTGGTTGAATATTGAGAACTTACCTTAGTTCGGATCATGCCAAAACGCTGATCTCTCAAATCTCTCACTATATGCTTGATGTTGAACTACCAAAAGAGAACAGGTTTTGTTTTGTTGTCATGCAAATTGGAGAAAAAAAGACTTAATCATGTTCAGATGGGGAAGCTGTGACCCACTTCTTTTACAAACAGTACATTATCTTTGTTGTTTAAAACAAGAAAAGCTGGGTTTATTCCATTTTGTCAGCATGAATTCTACCAGGACTTACTTTAGTCTAAGGTACCCCCACATGTTCCATACAAGTTTTTAATACTTAACAATGATGTGTTTGATACTTACACATAAATCTTTTTCTATATAGCTGAGCAGAACTTCAACACACAACAAAATTCCACTTCTTCCAATGCCAGTGCTGCAGTGAGCAATAATAGGTCCTGTACTGTGAGCTTTTCTCATGTAACAAATAAATTGTACAAGCTGCTTAGCCAGTTTGGGAATATTGTGATCTGGCCAAGTGGTAAACTGCAAATGACTAATAATGCGCTTCTCTTCTGTCTGGAAGAGAAAGATCAGAAATGTTAAAAAATATGAATCCTAAGATCAATTTTCAAGGAATTCCACTGAAAAATTTTCCTTCAGGCTCATTCTTTGTCAATTGTTTGTCTACTCTATGGTTCTTCAGCTTTTCATACTTGACTCTATTCTTTTATAAATGCACTCAGAAGACACAGTGCTAGGGTATTTACTTCATATAATTTTGATGAGGCACTGAAGTTACTCTGTTGTCCCAAAAAAGATGTAGTTAGCTTATTTGTTAGAAAAGAAAGCAAAAACATTAGTTACATTAGAACATTCCAGTACTGTTTACTAGAATGTTTTTTGTAACTGAACTGAGATATACTAACAGATGAGTAGTGTTATGATAGCTGCCATAGTAAGAGCATAAGATCTTACATCAGCATCATAACTGCTATGCTGGCTATCAGATATAAAAGAACAATTTGTGATTATATACCCTAACATACAAACAAAATCAACCAACAAAATGCTTACAAGAATAATCATAATGTGAGTGAAGAGTATTATTAATTGAATGGTCCTGGGACAGCTTGCCAGCTATTAAGCTGAATGCAAAAGTATGACCTGGATTTTTACCATCAGAAGAATTTAAATGTGTGTCTGGATTTCTGCTGAAGTAAACCTGTGGTTTTCTGTAGTAGTGTAATACTGGTCCAAGACAAACATATTAAGCATAACATGTTCATTGAAACAATCACATATAATGGCTCAACTTGCCATCTTCGTAATCTTTTGGGAGGGGTCATATCAAATGCTTTACTGTGTTTCACACAATAAAGTGAATAGTGTTTTGTTCATATAGAGAAATTGTTTCCTTGATGGAGAAAGAAAACAAGTTAGTTTGGCACAAATACAAATCTGATTATTTCATTAGTTAGTATGTCCTTCAGAAATTTGAGGCAAGACTGATGGACTTACAGTTGCCCCAATTTACATGTTCTTATACCTGGATTCTATACTTGTTACATTTCTAGAAATTTGCTGCTAGATTTGTATTTTCACGTGTATTCATGTCTTTTCATGAATGAATGAAGTATCATTTATTCTAAATTCTGGCATGGAAACCATCTTCTTAATTTTTTTTTTCCCAACTACCATTACACAATATGAATCTGCTCTGGCAGCCCTCACTGATTTGATTTAATGGGAACAGTAAGCAGTGCCATAGAACACTGAACACACCAGCTCTGTGACTATTAAAGGACTAATTTTTGGACATTATTGTCCAAGTGTATGTAATGTGGGATCCATTGCTTGTGAAATGAGCAAAGAAGCATCATCTCAGTAACCCTAATTTCATGTCTGTTATTCAGTTTTTTACAGAGAAATCAAAAATTTTACATACAGAGAAAACAATACCACTAGTATTTACTCATGTAAAATATCTAATCAATTTGACTATATGTGAAAGTATTGTCTACTCAGCTTACCTGCTTGTTGATCATTTCTATTGTTCTAATTACGATGTATTCCAGAATCTGGTAATTGTCTAGCCTGAGATGGAAACTGGCCAAGTCTATGGAGTTCTGGGGAGGTTCAGGCCAGTATCGATGACATCTGACTTGCCCTCGCTCCACTTCTTTTGTCATCATGGCAATCACATCTGATTCACTCTCCCAGACCATTTGCCAGAAATCAGACATAGTGGATGGCAGAGGTCCTTGGGTTATAATATAGAAATGTTCCTCTTCTCCAACTTTCATTCTAATGTAACTTGCATTAATGTAGCCATTCTTTTCTCCCAGAGGAACTCGTGTTTTATCATCTGTACAGAAAGAAGAAGTTGCTGTTTCAGCTGTAGATCTGAAACAGAGTTCTGCCATCCCTAGCACTCAGGAGATGAGGAACCTCAGCCTCTAGCAGCAAAGTTTGCATCTGGCGTTTAGCATATATTTGGCTAGTAGCACTAATATTAATTACTGCTAATATGAATTCCCACAGATAAATTGTATGGTTCACTGCAGCTTTATTTCTCTTAATATACTTGCAAGAATTATATAATCTTAATATACTTGGCAAGAATTCTAATTACAATAGAATTGTTGGGCTGTGATTCAAAATATTGTATCCAACACTGCTTTTAATGTGTGGCATGGGAATGTTATCACTGGCTATTGGTGTAATAAAACAGGAAGCTTCTGAGAATGTATATTGCATCACTAATATGCTACAAATTTTGCATGTGTTATCCTGCTGCTGCAGTTTAGAAAGGCATCGAGTGTCTAGAAAGTGTTCTCTGTCTGTCCTGATACCCTTCAGGAATCATTGGGCAGTACACTATTTTTCTGGAAATCCTTATTAACAGCAGTCATTTGGCTATAAAGACTCACATCTTCGTTCTAAAAAAACTTCTCATCAGTGATGGAACTTGTTTCTGACTCAGATCAGAGCACCTGAAAGCTGTGGTTTTATATTATGGTTTCAAACACTTCTAACAAATCTTTATCTTTGCAAGAGCTACATCACTCCAGGAATTCGACTGTACTTTTCAGAATTTCACTGCATCACAGGCAGTAGACATAGCTGTACATTTAAATAAAGAACTGCTATTATAGTTTGAGTTACAGGTGACCACAGAAATGGAGATCAGTATCTCTGAAAAAGAGAGAAGGAAACATCAAGACAGCTGGCCCTCTATCAGGCCAAGAGCTGCCTTGTGGAAGATTATAATTGAGAAAATTACATAGTGTGCCATGAAGACATACTTTTATAAATTCTGCCTCTTTTGGAAAAATCTCAACACGTTTTCTTAGTGGAGCTCTCTGTGACTAAGGCTGTGGTGAGATTTGCACCTCCTATATCTCAGTGTTACAACTGTGTCTGTTTTCTGACGTCTTTGTTCACTGAATGTATGTAGTGTAGATACTTACATGGAAGAATATCTCGGTATCTGTTTTTATCCTGGTTTTCTGGTGCTTTGCCAGTTCTGCAATCATCTGTTGGTTTCACACGTTCTAAAGCCTAGATCAAAGAGAAATAATCAATCCATGTTGTTCACATCCTTCATAAGCAGCCTTTATAGAGTTGGTGTGAGCAAACTTTACTTCTGGGTCTGTGACCCAAGATTGTCAAATAGCCTTCTTACAGAAGAGAATCAGTACATCATTCTCTAAACTTCTAGGCAAGAAATTCAATTGCTTTGTATTTTCTTCACACTGCACAAAATTTCTAGGGTTTTCAGGTGAGATTTCCAACCCACATTCTCAGTCACTGTCATTACAATTCCCTGTCCTATATTGCTGTAAAATAGATATTTGGAATACTGTCTTGGCCAGATGTCAGCATTCATAATTGATAACATGCTGACTAAAACACCAACTATTGCTCTGGTAACAGGTAGTGAATGTGAGTGAATACTCTTCAGTGATGGAGAAAGTGATGGATATAAGGAACAACATCAATGATGTTAAGTGCAAATCATATGGTCATTAAGTATTTTATAGCAGATTTAGGGGAACAGAATGCAGTGTAGCCTGAAGCAGGAATGTGCAAGTTACTTTCATGTAAAATTTTGAGTTTCCTTCACTTTTCTTTATTCTTTTACCTCTTCTGTATGCATTGCACAATGCTTAGCCATCACATTATGCCACTATACAGTGTATATGGACTGAAACACATGACAGTTCTTTAATATCTTCATCAGGTACTACAGCTTTTACTCAGATAAAATATCCATTGACATTGGTAACCAGTGCTTTCCCTATTAGATCTTTACATTTTCTGTGCAGTCGTGTGACTCAGCTCATAGTGTGCTATTCTCACATCAGTAACAGAATGGAATGAATGAAAATTAATACAGGCCCTTAAACCTTCAGGGAAAGTCAGCAGATTCTACACACTTGAGCCTGTGGGATTTTGTACACAGAAAGTCTGAGATATAAAGGCAAGTGAAAGAAACTGATAACATTGTAATTACTAGGGAGACATGTTAGCAATCTATTTTACTGGTGAGGAATATCTCCTTTAAAGGAAATTCTAGTGGTATATTGAAGATTATGAAATAATCTGTTCTTTGGGAATTTGCTGATAACCAAATACTCTATTTATATCCTGAACAAGGGATTTTATATGCTTTCCTAATTTTACATTTTTTCTTTATTTATATGCCATTATATGTAATTATATGTTTTTCATTATCTATGAAAATGTTACTTTTTAATTTCACAAAGTTCCTGACCTTAATAGCATCTTGTGGCAATGAGTTCCATGAATCAGTGAACTGTGTGAAACATTTTCCTTTCATCAACAAAGTGTTTCAACACTAGTGCATCCCTAGTAGGTTGGATTTCTTGGTTTAGTGCAACCTCTAGAATAGTGCTTAGGCAGATGTCCAGCAGAGCTGAGGGAGTAATAGGAATAAGTCTGTCTAGGAAAAAGCCATTTGTACCCTACTTTTGTGTACTATTTATTTTCAATTCTATGTGGGCACTATCTTTGGACGGTGAACAGTGTAAGCCTGACCTGCGTGGAAAGAGAGATCCAAATACTGTAGCATCACCCAAACAGCAGAGTAGAAGCCCCATTCTGATTGGAATAATTCTGAGAAAGTGGAATCAATAAAGATATACAAGTTGATCTCCCATACAGTATGCAAAAGGCTCGCACAAGGCACTTTCTTAGCTCTGCTGAACACTCAGATCTTAAAAAACAAATCACACTTTACCGTAAACTCCTTTAACACCTCTTGATTCTGAATCCGCAACTCAAGGCTTCGAATAAGACCTGTGATGCGAGTCCTTGGACCTACTCCAGTCAGTGATTGTTTGAAGTTAATTAAATGAGTCAGTTCATCTCCAGAAGTAAAGGTTCTGCCTATATATCAACAAAAAAAACCAAAGTGGTTTTTAATTATTATTGTTCCTTTTGCAAAGTCTTGGCTTTAAAAACTAGGGGCTGTCGTACTTAAGTACATTTTGACGCTTATACTGTGGAAGTGAAATGTGAAAAAAATATTTTTGGCTTACTTATGTTCACAGCAGAAAGAAGAATAAGTTAGCACCATGGATACAACCAGTACCACATTTTTTTGTGATTTGGAAGCAGATCCAACTATTGCAACTTATGGCTTCATACAGTTTCTAAATACACTCTGTTCTCTAAATCATAGAATCATAGAATGGCCTAAGCTGGAAGGGACCTTAGAGATCATTTTAATCCAGCCTCCCTGCCGCCAGGGACGCCACCTCTCGACTAGATCAGTCAACACATGGTGACCAAACGGAAATCGAACTCGCGTCCTTAGCGTTGTTAGCGCTATGCTCAAGTGACTGAGCTAACCGGCCCCCTAATAAACTGTTCTTGCAGAACTGTAAACGTTAATGCTAGTTTATATTGATACAGGATACTCCGGCCACGTCTTCACAGGAAATCATCTTCACGTGTCCAATACTTTCCTGAAAATTAGTATTGCTACACTCCACTGCTACGAATAATCACTGCAAATTCTACCTCCCTGAAGTAAGAAAACATCTTCTGTTTTTTTCATCTTACCTCACACTCCCTTTCAAGAATGAGTTGTGAAGTATCTTTGATGAATCAGAACCAGGATTCAGTTTACTAATTAGCTCATCCTGAAGTATATGTCCTAGTCTAAAACTTGTCAGATGGATAAACAATTACACCTCCAGAAATAGCACCACTGTAGTGGAGCAATTGAAGAATTTTTGCTAACATGTAGAAAAAAAAATAGCCTGTTTTGTAAATAATAGTGATTTGAGGCACAGAAACTATGGAATTTCTCCTTTTAGTCATAGGCTGCTGTTGGCAAAGAATAATATGCAAGCTGTCTCAAAGAAAACATGATGATCTGTTCCACAGGTTTGTCGTATGCTGAAGAAATGGGGCAATGCTATCATTGCTACGCCTAAGTAATCTCTGTTACAAAAGTGGTATGCTTTTGTCTGGGCTACAACGTGCACCTGCCTTGCCTGAGCTTTGAAGAAACTTTCTCTTCTCTAACCCTCATACACGTGAAAGTGTTTCTTTTAACTAGTTGAGAATGCCAGTGAAGACAGATCTCCCGCTCCAGACAGAGTGCACTATTTCCCATACACCTCTCTTTCCTTCCAGATCAAGTAGAATAAAACCCCCAAACTTTGAGCAGGTAATAGAGGCTAGATTGATTATAATTTTCTGTTTGGGAGCCAGCACAGCTTGGTAGTATAAAGGAGATAACTGTGGTTACTTCTGATAAGAGCCATCAGCAATTCATTGCTTCAACAGGGCAAGAAAAGGAAAGGAAAGATCTGTGTTTCAGAGAATCTATGGAATATCACAGCATCCTCAGTATGATTCCTTTCACAAATTATTCTTGTTTGGGGCAGAAGCAGTTTGATTTCCTATAGGAAGGAGTAGCAGATTCTTTCTGTAAACTATCTTCTGGTATCAGAGAGGTTTTAGCACCTGAGCTGTGAAAGTACTTCACTATACGTTTAAGGACATCAGCTCTAGAGATTTTAATGAAGTTACAGGAAGTGAAAGTCTTGAGGTAGAATTTGACCTTTCTTTCTATGTTTTTGTGTAAGCATTTAATTTACTTTTTTGAGTTGTATGGGAACAGTTTCAAAAACCTATTGCATCCAGTGACAACAAGCACATTTTGTAGTATACTCCTGGAATTTGTTCCATTGATTCTCAAAGTCTTCTTTGTTACTCCCTATCATATATGAAAAAGGCCTTCTACTACATCTAGTCTGTTTACTGTATCTCCTTTAAGATAATTTTTTTGAGGACAAACTAAAAATTTCCATTTTTTAATTCTGCACTGAGAAGCTCCCACAAATTTGCTACTGACTCAGATTACAATGTTTGGGTTTTTTTGTTCAGCCACTGAGCCAATGTGCCATTTCTTTGTGCTACCCAATAATGTATGATGTGAATAAATGCTCAAATTAATTCAATAACTTTCTTTTCCTCTTTTTTGCTCAGTTGGTATACCCAATTGAGTATAATCAGGATATTCAGAGATTTTCCCTTGGGGAAGGATGTAACATATAACATTACAAAAAACCCCACAAACTCCAAACAAATCCTAATCAAAAACCAAAAGAAAAGACACAAAAAAATCCCACAAAAATAAATTGTTGCTCATCCTTTTGAAATTGGTGCTCCAAAGCAGAGGCCCTCTGAGGAGTGGCAAGTGGGTGACAGCCAGCAGAGCTGCTCTCGCTAGGTTCAATTAACTACATTCAGACTCATGTAACTTCCTTCTAGCAGTTCTCCAAAAGAGTTGGAGAGCTCCTGACTCAGGCCGCCTTCTTGTGGATGATGGTCTTCATATGTAACAATGGTAAAAATTGTGTCCTGAGTGCCCTGGTCTTTGGGACACAAAGAGAAAATCCTTAGCTTGTATACAAAGGATTAATGTTTTTCTCACTGTACATACATAGGAAGAGCTGGCCTATAATTCTAAAGAAAACAGAGAAGTTTTTGTGTGGTTACTTCTAGGTAGAATGGAAATCCTGTGGGGCATATCATCATCTTCCTTGTTCCAGCTGTCTGACTCACGTTCGGCATATTTCTGTGACCTGTAAAACAGGTGTGCAAAATATGTCAAATCTTCCTCTACTCACTAACTCCAATACCCTCAGACCTAACATTTAACTATGTCAGTAGGCTTAAGCATATCCCAGTGTTACATTATCCTATCCTATGTATGATTATAATACATAATGTTAGAAGTAGTAAAAGGTACACTTGAAAGGGACAATGAGATAACAGGCAGCAGCTTTGCAAATATCAGTAACCATTGCAGACTGTGCATGTTCAAATTACACAAAGCTTTTGCAAGTAGAAATTAGAAGTACTAGAAAATACTGGCAGTGAACAGATTCAGATGACAGAATAGGAGCTGGAAAACCATGCAGTTTGCAAAACAACCAGAAAACATACTTGTTATCCCTATATATGATAACTTTGTATCAGCCATAGATGCATTTATGCATCTTGCACACAGAGCAACATAACTTAATAATAATCACATCCAATTAACTGGTATATCACAAGATAATGTTTTATTAGCAATGAGATAATAGCAAGTGGCTCTGAGCCTATGTTTACATGAATGTTCTCACTTGCAGATGCTCTCAAAGCTTCTTTCAAACTTTACTCTGCAATAAAGTAAGTTAGAGAAGATTTTAATCCCTAAATGATTGGCTACTGTTCTTACAAAATTTTAAGTTTTAAGTGTAACTATTTATTCCTTCTTTCCATTTATGTGAGTTATAAGTGATAAAGAATCATATTTCATGTGTGCTGCATCATTGTAATAGACAAAACTGCCTGTCTTATCAACAGTCCATTATTCTTTGACTTCCTATTGTACGGTAGATTTAAAACTTGAAGTAAAATTCTTCTCTTCTAGTACTCTGTAATTCCTTTGGAGTGACATCCTCAAATTCTCTTGATTCCCAGATGTCTAGAGTTCAGCATCTCTATTGCTACAGCCACAGTAAGCACAGGCTGCAAGACCTGCTCGGAGCACTTTGTAAAACCTGCGGGGACCCTGCTCACACCACAGGATGTGCTACCACGGTTCTCTCCTCCTCAGCCAGAAAGGCTAAAGCTACCTTAGGTGCGTCTGCATGAGCTGTGACACCTGGAAGCTTCCATTTCATTTATCTTACTAGTTATGTGAAAGCTGTTTAACAACTCGTAACTGCAGATGGAGCTGCATTCCAGTTCAGCTGTATTTCTCTCATTTGGGACGTAGGAGTGTATTTGCGTGCCATATTAGGACAGCTCTGGAAATACAATAATAAATAATACTATTTAAGAGTTTTACTGCATTTGAAAGACTTACTTCTCTGAAATATTACTAATGAGATCCTTATAGTCTTGTCCAGCCAACTGACCTTGAAGGGGCGAATTGTGCATACTTTCTGGATCCTGTGGGTTTAAAATAAGAAAAAGCTGTGAAAAATCAGGACAAAAACATCAAGAAAATAGCTGCTTTCATCAACATTCTTTCTCACATCTGACAAAAATATGTCCTTCACTCAAGAAAGAAAGGGAAAACAGAAGTTTCAGAATAAAGTATGTAGTTTGACTCATCATTGCAGTATCACTAGGACTAAGAAGCCACATCAGCTGCTTTTGTGAGTTTCATAACAATACAGTCTTCAGACATCTCTACCACATTGCATGCATAATGAAACTTTGAAAAGGTTCCTGTTAGTTATATCTCTCTGATCTCATAAAGAAAATGCAATCACAGAAATCGTGAGTCACTCTCTTCTGCTTCTCCCACTTCTTAGCAGCAAAAAGCACCAGTGTCTGAGATGGAATTGTTGGTAATAATTTCCTTTTTTTATCTCAGACACAACAGTGCCAGCTGTTAGGAGCATGGTGCAGCTGCTCTACTGAAGCAGCACTCAGCTAACAGACAAGGCAGACCCTTTATCATCTTCCATATGCAGTAGAAGCAATGGTATTGGTGGCTGTTTCTTCATCGCAGAGATTGATAACTGGGTCCTGCATTTAAGTAATGATGTAGGACTCTAAGGTCCCTTCCAGCCTAGGCCATTCTATGATTCTATCATTCTAAGACTTCTGCCGTTAGTGTGTGGAAGCGGCTCCTTTTCAGATGTAACACTTGATAGATAATTATTTAAATTTTAGTTCAGAGTGGTGTTTCTTCTTTCTTTTTTTTTCTACCTCATATTCCAGATGCACTCAGAAACTGCCTTGGCATGTTACACAGTGTAAGCTACTGAATGCTCCCCAGAATCTTAATGGTAGCTGCCACTTAAACCTTATTTTCTTATTTTTGTGCTTGTATTTCCCCATTAGAATAGCGGAATCCATGGCTGTCTATTTAACCTGGAATTAATTTACCCAGTTTCTGTATCTGCTGACTACATTGACTGGAGAATACGGTATGGATTTTTGTTTTCTATTTGTCAAGGAAAGGCATTTTAATGATGCTTTTTTCCATCTGTTTTTTTCTTTCTTTTTTTTTTTCCCCAGTAGCTTGGCATTTTTGAGGTCTACATCTTTGGAGTAGATGGCAGCTGTGCTTTATAAAGTAAAGCATAAATAGTTTCTATTCATAGGAGACAGCTAAAGGCAAGCTGGAAATAATTGAAGAAGAGAGTTAATGGAACCAATTCAGCAAAAAAGTTTAGCATGTGCTTAAAGTTAGGCATGTGCTGTGCTGAACTAGATAAACTTAACCACATGCTTAAAACTAAATTTGTGCCTTAATACCATGCTAACTCAGGGATCTAATAAGGAACTTGTAACCTTAGTACTACTTCTCATTGATATCATTTCTTGGGTGTACTTCTCTGTCAGATCATAGACGTCACCTTGTTTTGATATTACATTTTACCAATCTCTAACAGTTTCCACACCCCTTCCAACAGTGTCCTTAAAGCTTCCTCAAACAAATTTCTCTTCAATGTTTTCTCAGTGTATGCACATCAAGGATTTCCTCTTTCTAGTTTGATTACATTGTTTGTGGCAGGGTTAGAGTTTTTAAATTATTCTGGAGGATAAGACGATTTATATTTCTCACATTTTCTGAGGAGAGATTTTACAGTTGTAAACTTAGAAATAATAAATTCTATAAAATTTATAGATTCAAATAGGACTCAAAAAAAAATAATAACCATGTATGAAGAACTTTGGGTGCCTTCAAGTTCGGAATAATGGAAGATAGTTAGATAGAAATCCTTTAACATATACTTTAAAGTATATGTTTTGAAATACTGAAAGAATGGTAAAATTAATAAATCAGTCATTCCAATATTATAAAGCACCAGAACTAGATTTACACATGCATGCTTTCTTCCCCCACCCTTTTAGCATATATGTATTATACTAATCATATTCTCTTATCTCAGTGGAATCCCCTGATTCATTCAAATGTTAGCAGTTGCAGTCATTGCCACACACTTCCCTCGCATTAATCTTTTTTCATTGAGGAGGTGTGGTTCTTGCCCACATTACAGCAAACCCCTTTTACAAGCAAATATATGAGTACATTGCCTGATGACTTTCTGGGAGCCTGATTCAGATTTTACCTTGGTGCACATCTGGTTGGATTCTTCTTCCTTGAAAGTGAAAACAGGCTGACCTTGCAGTCTTCCCTCAGCACTATCTAAATACCAGAAAACAAAATCAAAGTAAAATGCCTAAAAAGTATGAAAATATAGATCCATTTCTTCTGTGCCGCCCACACCAGAGGACTTTGATCTAGGAAGAGGTGCTTAGATACAGGGCCAGAAACTGGCATGAAACATCCTTTCATGGATGCTCTGAGATGGTTAGTACAGCACAAACACCAGACATCACCACTGAAGAAGCCAGCATAATTCATGTTGCCAGAAGATACACTGAAATAAACCCCTATATCAATAGCAGTTATAAAACTTCTGAGACAGAATTTAATTTTGCCCTCCTATGCCCAGCCCATTCCTTTAAAACATTAAGAGATAAACTGCATAGATTAACTTTGATGTCGTTGGGGTTTGCTGGTCCAGGAAAACAGGTTAAGCTTTCTAGCATCTACATAATTCACTAGTGTCATGTGACATGCAAATAAATGTCCCCACATCTAATTGCTTGAATTTGCAGAGCTGAAGAAAAGGCTAGTCTCGCTGAATATTTCCACAGCCTTCAATAGAGAAATAGCTTTAATCAGCCTTTTTATAACTGTCTGTCCCTCCATATTTTTTTTGAATCATTAATCCCCCAAATTAAACTAGAATAGAGATGGGGCGCTGAACATCCTCCTTCCAGGCTGGTGCTGAGCATAGCTTTCTCATCCTTACAGAAAAGCTTTGCTTGAAACAGGGTAGCTTCCAGTAAGTGAAGGAATGTCCATTGCTGTGTCTAGACACAGGCTAGGAGTTCCACAGAATTAGGTTCAGTCTAACAGAAACAGGGGGAAAAAAGAAAAAAGAGAACCTTGAAGTCTAGAAGCAGCTTTGCCTAACAGCAGAATTGCCTAAAATACCTTTGCGGGTAAGTTTGCACCAGTAAAGATGACTAGATGTATAAGTGTTTGCTGTAAAGTATGTCCAACCCCCACATCAGCTCTGCATCTCTTCCTAGTCAGCGAGGGAGAAAGAAAATAGTAATGGCTTATTGCCTGAAAAGATATGAAACAAAAGCTCCAATTTGTTATCAGCAGAGCTGAAGTTATATTAAGGAGGATTTTTTATATTTTTCCCACGGAAGTTTCTTCATGTTATAGGAAACATTTATGTGTTTACAAAAATAGGAAGTTGAGGAATATAAACCCATAATCTACTGGTAATAGTATACCCTTGCTTCCGTTCCCATTCTGAAACAGTATTTAAATTTTGAGAGTTCAGTAAAGCAGAGCCTGCAGCACAAGTTTTTCCCATTAGTCAGCTCCCTAAGTACTGCTCTGTGCAGGTGGCTGTGGTCTCAAATTAATAGTAATTAACCTGGGAGCAGAGGCTTCTGGATGTGAATGTGAACAACCGCAGAGGGGAGGGGAGCTGTCTGCCAGGCAGAAAAGGAGGTGTGGTGTTTCCAAGAGATAAGGTAGGAGTGCTTGGACGTGAAATTTGTAGGGAATGTATTTTAGCAGCTGGGCTGATAACTGGCTGTGATTCCATTAGTGAGTTGTATAAGATTAGGAACCTTTGTGACTTAAAAATATAAGCTGAGTTAAAGAATCTTTAAGGGTCTTGCAGCTTTGCTTCCGCTAGTCCTAGATGTAAACAATCGTACTTGGCCATTCCTTCCCTGTGGTCCTATGTCTCGCATAGCTTAGCCAGAGCTGCAGATCAGGGAGCTGGTTTTCTATCTACAGCTATGAATCAGGAGTAACTGCAAAGTTGTTAATATTGAATTGTTTTGCTAATAAGAAATTTGAATTTAGGTAATACGTAATCCCACTTTTCTAATATGCTGAGTGGATGTAGCTGCTTACCAGGCTCTGCTTTTGTGTTTGGGGGGGAAGGCATGCTGTTGCTCTGATTGCCTGCGTAACCCCAATGCAAAGTCATGCTTCGGCAGACAGTGAGTTGAACAGTGCCTTGAGCCTTGCGTAGCAAATCTATAACTGTTTGGCGTGGCAGGCCAGACACAAAAGTCTCATTCACCTGAAAAATACAATGATATGTACTTCCAGGTTCCTGTAACAGAAAGCTTTTTTTAATCACGTATCCCAGCACTGAACAATATTTACATAGTTTCTTTCCATTGCATGTGTCCTCATCACCTCCCATTTCAGTAACTTGCTTAATCCTTTCCTCTCTACTTCTTCATACCATGTTTGCCAGCAGTACACCACAAAAATATAGTCTGCATCTCTTCGGAGACACTCAGAAGGCATTATCTACCCCGCTCTTCAATGGAAGATGGAGGAGAGATGGAAATAAATGACAAATAGAAAAGCAAACAAAAATATTGAAACTCCTGGCAGGGGAAGAAAAAATAATTTGGGGTAAAAAAGAAAAGATTGTTCATAGTAAAAAGTGCTTAAGATAGTAAGATTTCAAAGATTCAAAAGATCCAATTCCAGTGCTTTTTGCTTATCTTGATAATACCTAACTGGCACCAATGGCAAGTTCATTTCAGTATCTTTCTGGTTAGCTCCTATATACACAATTTGTCAATTAACTCTTGTTGCCCTGATTTTTTTTTTTTTCCATGTATAATCCTTGCTGGGCACAGTTATGCTCTAGAGTAGTTGCCCTTTGCTGCTTGCCCTGCTATTCTTGGTCTGCTTTTCTGCTGGAGCACCCAACAGCCGAGGGACACCATCTTCTACATGTTACTGTGCCAAGTAGCCTTAGATTTCTAAACTGCACAACATTTATACTGACCAGAATGCTCAGTATAGAGTAAGTAGAGAAAATAGAGGCTAAAGCAATGAAGGACAAGCATTACCTTAAGTAGGATGTCACCAACTTGAAGCCTCCCATCTATATCTGCAATGCTGTCCGGGCTGATGGCTTTTATTAGGATAGCCCTGCCATTTCTTCCACCTACCAGTGCAAATCCTAGGCTTCCATTTTCTGCTTTTTCCAGCTCAATCTTAATAATGAAGTCCTACAATAGAAAAGGATGCAGTCTGAAGTGGAGCTTATTCAGGGCTGTGTTTTGTCTGCATTTTTAATACCAAAGAATCCCATTATGCCTCACAGTCCTCACTGGCTGATGTGAATTGTGGAATATATCCTTCTTTTGGATAGGTATATAGGGCTTCCAGTGATTAACATAGCAGCTGCATGCATGTATCAGAAAAAAAATAGTACAGGCTTGTTTCTATAATCTGTTTTAATAATTGCTGGAGGGGAAAATAACCTCTTAAGCACAAGGAAGCATGTACTTTTACAATATATCAAATACATCACCTTCATCGACAAGCAAGTCACTCATCTCCAGCATGGCAGCAATGCAGTACATAGTCCATTCTTTTATTGTTCTATAATGCAAATTTTAACCTCGCAACCCCAGTATACCCATCTGTTTAGCACTTCATTCAGTTTTAAAACCAGATACTGTTTTAGGGTCAAGTATTATGTCAGAAGTAGTAGCAGCCTAGAAATGTTTATGCCTTGTAGCATGACTAATTCCAATGTTGCAAACATCATCCTCAGAAGTTATTTTAGCAAATTGAACAGATAAACCATCATGGATTAAATGGTGCAGAGGAAACAGTAAGAGTGATGGCTTAATCAAGAGTGAGAATATTGTTCCAATTTTTCTGCTGGGTTAGGGGTCTACTGTTAATGAGAGACAGCCTTTTTTGCAAACCACAATCAATAGAAAACTAGTAAATCTATTCCCATGGAATATCAGTCCCAATGTAGGTAATTTCAATTCCAAATAACATTGTTTTCCACATGTTTGCACAAACAGAAGTGATGTTTGCGCTTCTAAGAATTTGCAAGCACTGTATGTTGAACATGGAGATTACTTCTTTCTTCAAAGAACACACGTGTGTGTTTTAGGAATTCATTATTTCAAAATGGCATTACTTTTGCCAAATTCAAACAGTTATGGTTTATGTCAATGCTGCATAATACTCCAAAGGTTCAAACTAATTTTACTGTCTTTTCAAATGCCCCATCTGAGAATTTCAGAATGAAGCATCTGCTTCAGGTTTCAAAGATTTTTGTGGAAAATTCCTCACAATTACACTTATTTTCCCCAGAATCCCATACTGTGTCATTGTGTATCTTTTTCCTGTGCTTTCATTCTAAACAAAGGATTAAGCTTGTAAGCTCTTAAAGACCTAATGAAGGGCTACATCCTATGAATTGTGCTTATATTACCAAGCTGGTAAAACAGTGATAATGTACATGGAAAAATGGCAATAGAGGCGTCCGACTCCAGGAGGTGCTCAGTGCATTCCAGTCTATGAATACTGAAGCAATTCAGTGCTTCACAGGACACTCTCCAAATGCATTATATTCACATTTTTAAAAGAAATTGGGGAGATAGCCAATATGTTAAATATAAATTTGGAAAAAAATGTCACCCCACATAGCTCCCTTCATTGAACCATCTCACACTTGATAAAATTGTTCCTTACCTTAGATTCTGGAGAATCAGGAGTGTTTTGCTGAGCACCGGAGTTAGTTTCCTCCAGATATTTCTCTGTGAAAGAGCAGTAACAAGTTTTACACAGTTGTACTGGTAAAATTTTCTACAGTACTACACTCAAAATTGTATTCAGAGACATAATAAAATATTTTATATTTGACATGTAAAATACAAAATAAATTCTGTGGACTGAATGTCACCTTACACTGCTGAACTGTGAACTGAGCCTTCTGTGCATTATCCCTCCAAACTTTATACCTCCCAGTGAGCAGGTCCCAAAACGAGCTTTAAAAGCTGCATGTTATAGGGTAAGAGACACCAGAGGGACAATGGGTAATGTATAAATGTTCTCTGAAACTCAGGGAGGCAACTTTATTTGCAAAGAATTAATCTTTCCCAGGTGCTGCTGGCACCAGCTACAGACTTATTGTCTTTGAAAGAGAGTGGACAAAATTTTACAAACCCTAATTGAAAAATACAAAGTTCCTTACCATGGTGATGCAGCAGATGCTGTTCTTGGGCATTCACGTTTTCATTTGAGAAAGAAATATTGGCTTTCTCTGTCTCAGCAGGTGGCCCTAAAAGCATACATGTAGATTTGTTCTGACAGGCCTCCTGCTAACCTTCATATACACAAGGGAATGTAAACTCTGTGCTTAGATTATGAAACAAAGCATCACTATCCAATATTGATACCATATGAGGCAGTTTGAGACTCTTACTACTGCATGATTAAGTTTGCCAATTAGCACAGCGATATAAACAATTCTGTCGTGAATTTCAGAGATATTATATCAGTCGTTGCTATTTTTAAAATTGTAACAACAATTAGAGATCAGACTGAGTCATTCTAGACATGTGGCAATGATTAGGCAGAGGAAGAAGCAGGGTGTGTGTTAGTGTCTGCAGAGAGGGATGTGTAAGAAGACACTCCCACCTCTATGCACCCAAGCCCAATTTTGGGGTTTTGCTGTATCATATCTTGATGATTTTAGTTGTCATCCACAGACTACTCTTAATGTATGAATTACAGAAAATGAGGAGTGTTCTGTTGTTTTGTTGTTTATTTATTGTGTTTTTAAAAACCTCCCTGTCGCATTTGCAATTTAAGTATGTATTTTGTAACTAAGAGAGTCTAGAAAAAGAAGGCTTGCTTCCTTAATAGCAGATAATTATAGATTTATCTATAAATCTGTCAGAGATATTAGCAAGCAAAATCTATAGTAATCTGGTATTTGGTGTTCTAAGTGCCTTATAAAAGAAAAGAATCTTGTTCATAAGAGGGACAGGTAATTGTACCATTGTAGAGTTCATGAATCTGTATCAGATGTGGTCAGATCTGGTAACCTATTTTGAAGGTGTATTGAATAATCTTGGTATCTGGAAAACTCATGGAGCATGGATGTGTAAGTAAGGTCACAGAATCACAGAATGTCAGGGGTTGGAAGGGACCTCTAGAGATCATCTAGTCCAGCCCCCCTGCCAGAGCAGGATCACCTACAGTGGGTCACACAGGAATGCATCCAGGCGGGCTTTGAATGTCTCCAGAGAAGGAGACTCCACAACCTCTCTGGGCAGCCTGTGCCAGGGCTCTGTCAGCCTCACAGTGAAAAAGTTTTTCCTAAAGTTTTTGTGGAAATTCCTGTGCTTCAGTTTGCACCCGTTGTCCCTTGTCCTATTAGTGGACACCAATGGAAAGAGCCTGGCTCCGTCCTCCTGACACTTACTCTTTACATATTTATAAACGTTAATGAGGTCACCCCTCAGCCTCCTCTTCTCCAAGCTAGAGAGGCCCAGTTCCTTCAGCCTCTCCTCATCAGGGAGATGTTCCACTCCCTTCATCATCTTTGTAACTCTGCGCTGGACTCTTTCAACTCTTTCAAGCAGTTCCCTGTCCTTCTTGAACTGAGGGGCCCAAAATTGGACACAATATTCCAGATGTAGCCTCGCCAAGGCAGAGTAGAGGGGGAGGAGAACCTCTCTCAACCTACAGGCCACCCCTCACCCCAGGATGCCATTGGCCTTCCTGGCCACAAGGGCACATTGCTGGCTCGTGGGCATCCTGCTGTCCACCAGGTCCCTTTCTGATACTTGGGGTTGTTCTTTCCCAGGTGCAAGACTCTACACTTGCCCTTATTGTATTTCGTAAAATTTCTCCCTGCCCAACTCTCCAGCCTGTCCAGGTCTCTCTGAATGACAGCACAGACTTCTAGTGTGTCAGCCTCTTCTTACAGTTTAGTGTCATCAGCAAACTTGCTGACAGTGCTCTCTCTTCCCTCATCCAGGTCATTGATGAATATATTGAACAGGACTGGCCCCAGTACCAGCCCCTGAAGGACTGCACTAGATACAGGCCTCCATCTACACTTTTTCCTACTGACCACAACTTCCTCAGTTTAGCTACAAGGATGCTGTGGGAGACGGTGTCAAATGCTTTACTGAAATACAGATAAAGAACATCCACTGCATGGCCATCATCTGTCCACCTGGTTATGTCCTCATAAAAGGCTATCAGGTTGGTCAGACATGACTTCCCCTTGGCAAAGCCATGCTGACTGCTCCTAATAACCTTCTTATCCTTGATATGCCTAGAGACACCGCCGAGGATAAGTTGTTCCATTGTCTTTCCAGGGATGGAGGTGAAGCTGACTGGTCTGTAGTTACCTGGGTCCTCTTTCTTGCCCTTTTTGAAGGCCTACCAGGATATGCATTTACCATGTTTTAACTATACCACAGGAACTGAGAGTACACATAACATTATCTGTGTCTTGTAATAAATTTGAAGAAGTTTGTTCTTCAGTAAGTGAAATAAGCTGCTTACGTCTATAGAAACAAGCACATGACTAGTTGATATAGAATAGGAAATCTATAACAAGCTTGACTTGGAATAATTTCTTTGGGTAGCTATATGTCAGTATTCAGATAAGTGTGGGCATATGAGCAGTTTTGGCCCAGGGTTATTTCTGCATGATTACAAAAAAAAAAAAAATCAGTCAGGTAAATGAAGCTGTGGGTTAGGCGTGACTTAAGATTGCAGCCAAACGTACACTAGAAAGCATTACTTGCATAGCTAACACACTTTCCACACAGTGTCGTAGACGTGATTCCTCTCCTTCCACCTGATCGTGCAGATGTAACCTCTGCGTGGTGAGAGTCCTTTGGCTAGAGGGATTCTGGTCAAGTCTTTCTAGTGCAGGTTTTCAGGTTTTGTGTCACTTATAGTATTAAATATTGTTCCCTGATAGGAATGCCCTTGTACTGAATAAGGGATGTTGGTGCTCCCTGTTTCAGATTTTCTATAGATTTACTGAAAACAGTTCCAAAAAGTAGGTATAGAAGATGTAGTGTTGGCTTATATTCAATAGTGTCTCAAAAAGTGCTGGAAAACCCCTTAGAGAATAGGGGTGTTGAAATATGACAATGTCAATTCCCATTTAATAACAAATTAAAAAAATAGAAACTGACTATGCAAAATGCAATAAGTATTTTTTTTTACAGATAACTGTGCATTTTATTTCTATCTTTAAAGAGGACTAAATCTCTTCAGACCCTTAGAATGGTTGTAACAGAAATACTGAATGCCGACTAACAACCTGTTAGTCACTTTTTAAATGCAATGAATCAATACATTATGCTTAGTTCAAAAATCAGAAGCAAATTTTGAACTAAAACCCCAAAATATTAGCCTTACTTACTATTTTCCTGTTCTATAGGAACCACTGGGTTGCCATTTCTGGGGGCAGAAAAAGTGAAATACGTGAGCCATTAAGAGCTGCATGCTTTGTGAAGCACATATGAAAAACATTTTTAGAAAGTCAGTAGTCTAAACTGTGGTTGTGCTTCTATGATTGTGTTAATGGTGTTTTCCTAAATAACATTTATATAAAACATTTCACTGTATTTAACAGCAGTCAAAACATTTTATTTAAATGGGTTCAGGAAAGGAAGAACGTGTCCCAATACAGAACTGCTTTGTGATACGTTTTGAATTCAGTTTCAGTCCCTCCTCTATAAAGTGGCAATGTTCTTTTGCCATTTCCTTTACCCTATTTTTGTTTATCTCCTTAGACTGTAAATTCTTCGGGGTGTGCTGACTACTAACTGCTTGTGCAGCAAGAAATATAATGAGGCTGCAGTTTCTTCATCTGCTAGACCAGTGCAAGTTAATAAAACGCTGACAAAAGTTGGAACTCCATTAAGACAGCTGTGACAGACATGCTGTCGCTCACTCTGGTTCTGTAAGTTATTCATGTGCTTTTGGGTTACTATTTGACTGTTCCTCTGAGATCTTTGGAATCTATTTGCATATCAGTCCAGGACCTCTGCTGGCGCTATATCAGACTGCAGAACACAATATATCTAAACTGCAGCCAGGAACTGATAAGAGAAGTGATAAATCCTGGGATGACCTTTTGTTACATGGTACAGATGAAATGCTGCATTTTTAAATACCTTTCTAAAACATTTGGCTGTTGGAAGTAGCTCAATGTTTCCCATCAGAGGTAGTTTCTTGCCTGTAGTTGTGAATCTGAGATTTTATGGAGAAGGTTTGCATGACTAGTGGAAATATAAAAATTTTCCTAGAGAACAGAGTATCTGAGACTGGTGGCCAGCCTCATGGCTAAAAGATTCATGTTTGTGTAATGGATGACGTTTGAAGAGTTCTCATTTGTGCTGCGTGAGTCTACTTTGTGTACTCACTGTGTAATTGTAATTACAAGGAGTTAAGATATCTTACGGATGGTATGTATCAGGTTGCAAGGTTCAGACTTTGGAGGTAGAGCATTTTTCTTGTAGTGTGTGTTGATTTTATTGTTTGACTTGTTGATGTAAAATTTAGAAACCTGCTTCAACATGGGGATTGAGTATGCTCACATTTACCTTGTCGGCTCAGGTTTACCTTGTGGCTTTGATTTGGACATTCTGGGTGGCAGCTTCACACACTCTCACTGCATCATCCAGGCTAATGCCCTCAGTCCACAGTCCACAGATGTAAACAATCTGATCTCGTAGCTGCAAACTGCCTTCCACACTGGCAGGAGAGCCAGGCACTATCTCTAGCACATAAATACCTTGTAACTTGCTTCCAGCTCCTCCTGTCAGCTTCAAGCCTAGAATAATGCAGAGAAAGCATCTTTTGTGGCAGTGTGTTTTGAATTGCACTGTCAGGGACACACAGCCTAATGGAACAGATGTAGGTCATGGAAAGATAGGCTGAACAGATCACCAACATTATAAATAGCAGTCCTGCCCCAGTGAGATCAAGTATAAGAGCTGGAGTGTTAGAGTGAGAAGTAATTAGATGTTTAAAAAGTATGGGGGGGGAAAAAAAGGTATTGTCCATCTCTACACTTGAACTATTCCATAGAGCTTTATTTCACCTGATGTTGAATAGACACTTGAGTAAGACACTTGGCTGCGTAGCAGTAACTCCGTGATTACCAGAGTGCTTGAGTGCCTTGCAATCTTTAGAGTGCCATAGGGAACAAAGACATACGATGACTAAGAAGTTATCTACATAGTACAAAACTGAGCTGTGCAACAATATTCAAGCAGTCTCCAAACAAGCTAGTTTCTGAAATGGAAACCTGAGCAAATGCAGCTATGCTCTTTCCTGACTGCAGTTTTATCCCTGTGCAATACTCACCGCATTCTGCAGAAATACCAAGCTATTCACACTGTGAGGATTTCTTTTATTGCTTCTATTGCTCAATGTGGATAAAGCTTTGTGTCTGTGGTGAATCAAGGATCTGAGTGGATGTTTTTTGAACAACAAACTATTACCTTCAAACTTTGCCTTTTTTCCTTTTTTCCCTCCAGATAGATCTTTGTGTATCTCAACAGGTAGCAGACATTATTATCTAACTACCAACAAGTTATGTATATCAGTAACATAAAAATAAGAGACTGGAGATCTACCAGAAACTTCAGCCAATGGGATGATAATACAAAGATTATTTTTTTCCATCTATCTTCACGAGTCTAATAGGAGATATTTGTCTTTCCTTTAAAGTCTTCCTCCAAATAAAGCCCTCCATCCTTGGTCACAGGTGGTGGAGGAGAACATAAATGTGTAAATGTCATTCAGGATCATATTGATCCAAGATCACAGTTACTTACAATTGTCTTATGATTGCTGCAATCTCTGTCCAAAATAGCATGCACAGTATTTGCTACGCACCTAGCTGTCCATTGGCACCTTTTGTGAGAGTAATTTCGGGAATCTCTTCTGGACTAATAGAAGGATGTGGGTCACTGTCAGCACGACCAACCACAAGGTGCAGATCAGGAGGAGATCTTTGCAGTAAAGTCAGAACTTCATTGCATCGTAAAGATGTGACATCAATTCCATTCACCTAAATGACAAACCGGTAAAATGATGTTATAGATCTCATTGACCATCCACTCTCAGTTTTGCATATGAACATAAATTAGTTTTCTCTTTCATGTTACTGCTGTTCTATGGTATTTGTTGTCAGTTAAGATTGCAGAAAGATTGGTTTTTTTAAAACTTTCATTTTTTCTGAATGCAAAGCTTTTGTAAAAATAGATGTTTAGTTTGTTTTTTTTTCTTGAAACTGGAGGTCTCGTAACAAAAACCAAGGAGGAGAGTCTAATGCAACAAATTGAAGATGAACCAGGCTGAAAACAGGCTTTACTCATACATCACAAAGGACGTAACTCCTGCATTCTTTGTATGCAGCCTATCCTATTACATTAATTCAGTTTATGTAATTTAATTGGGAAGGCATTTAATGTCTTGGTTGTCTTGCATTGCTGCTAGATGATTCATGTTGTTTGCCTACTCATACAGTTTATTTGTTGTATGATTCATTTGCATTTCAATGCCTAAATGTGTGATAAACTGAACCCTATGAAAGAAGAATGCCGAAGCTAAATGACATTTATCTGCAAATATTTTTTTTCCCTCTGAAAATTCAAAGAACTATTGTACCATAATGATTCTGTCTCCCTTTCTTAATCTTCCATCAGACAGGGCTGGATCATTCAAGATTTCATCAACATACAGGCAGTTGTCCACTTTGTTAAAAACTACAGAGAATCCATAACTGTTGTTCTCTGACCTTGTCAAAGTCACGAAGATCTCCATTTCCTGTGAAAATAAGCACAAGATATGTTTCATGCAGGCATTTCTGTTGCTTCGTTAACATATTCTCTTATGTTTTATATGCAGATAGGGATCAGGTCCTCAAGTGGTATAAATAAGAGCATATGTAAGGGTTTCTCTAGTCTGTCACTACCTTATTCCAGAATTAACCTTACTTCATTTTACCTAGTGGAGCTTCATGGTGATTGCTTCACAGGGCCTAGTAAGGCAGAGAATGCCATTGGGGACTGGAATTCTGGCATTTGAAATATGTAAAGAAAGGCTTGGAGTCCTCTGAGCTGACAGTCATTACAATAGTAGGGTGCAGAGATTGTTATTATTGCAATTGCTGTCCCACCGAAGGAAAAGACTGAAGCTAAATTTTGTCCTCAGCACTCTCAAATGAGTAGGAATTCAGAACTTCAGCAGGAAAGCAAGATGTTCAGCATTTGGCAGGACTAAGCCTTATATTTTGAATAGTAATTAGCACAAGGATCATGCTTTCTTATCAGGACACTACATCAGTATCACTGTAACAAAGTGATTTTCCACATGGTTTTAAAACACGACAGAAAAAAACCCAAGCAGCTGGCTAATTAATTTTAGAGGCTACTAGAGGGCTTTTAGGCCTTTATACGCTGAGAAAAAATCTGCAGAATGCTGGAAAGTTGAAGAGATACTAAGATGGCAAGAGCAAGGAAATTGTTCTTAAGGCAAATGGTAAAGAATTCTGAAGATCTGGGCATAGTGGAAGGCCTGCTTTACTTGAGGGATGTGGACATTCAGGAAAGTAAACAAGAGCCATTAAGAGATATCATAGATAATGAGTTCAGAATAATGTTTAAGAATGTTGCATTCTTAAAGTTGTTTCTTCTCCCTTATTGCATTCTACCCATTAATAATCTGGTGCCTAACACATACCCTAATGCGATCTTCCTTTTCTTCCTTCTCTTCCTCTAGTTCTTCCAAGTCTTCCCATTCATTGTCACTGTCATGTGTCTCTCTAGCAGGCAGGGCTGATGAGAAGGGACCACAGACACGGGGTTGTGGGGTCGCCATGGTTGTGGAGAGTGTTTCAGAGCTTCCTCCCCGTGAAGGTGAGGTCACAGATGTTGAGCTGATAGTTGGATACTCTTCATCAATAGGGGTTAGAGAGAGAGTTTCAGGCATACATTTTGTGTTCGATAGGTCATCATCACTCTTATTTAATATGCAGCTGGAAAATAAAAAGATTGCAGTGCTGGGGTTTTCCTCCATATGCTTTATTAGATGGCCACTGAAAAGTCTACTGCTTATGCATGACCTTATTTTAATTTTAACTGAAGTGCTAGTTATGGTATTAAATTGCTGTCTGGGTCCACCAGTGTTACTATAAAAATAGGTAAGTTATCAATATTTTGCAAATCTAGTTAAAAATTTTTTTTAAATATCAGAATTTGAAACAGCCTTTGCAAAATCTTGTACTCTTTTTTAAAGACATTAAGTAGTATTTGGTTGCTTCTTGAAAACAATAATTGGATAATCGCTAGACCATTAATTATTTTGTCTGTCATAAACAACTTGTCTGGTAAGTGGTATGCTTGTAATACTACTCCAATTTCCATATCTGCATTTTTCTTGAAAAACGAATGCCAGCCATACTCCTGTTTCCTATAGGTCTTTCCTTGGTAAACAGAGCACAGACCAGAAACATGAAATATAAAATGATTCCTGTCTCTCCATAATAAATACAAGTCCTGACTTCTCTTAGTACGCTTGCTTTTTTTCTTATGCTTGCCTTGAAGCACAAGCATTGTCCTACAGAAATCAATGAATTTGTTCAATTACTTGAATTAAAATTATTATTGATTTTATTTCACTGTATTGGAAACATAGTATTCAGCACTTTTGATGTTCAAGCCCAGACTGCAATCATATCTGCTCTATTTTATGTTAGTTTGGCTGTTGTCATTAATGAACTCTAATAGATTACTACTATAGCATTGTTTCACATTAAATTCACTGCTAAAGCTGATAGAATGCTTAAAATATTTTTAATGTGTTTTCCTCATATCAATCCTTATTGAAATATTGCTAATCCTTATTCATCCTAAAACCCATTAATGCTTCACACAGCAAAGATGCCATGTCATTTCATATAGAGCACTTAGGCCCTTTTGCTCTCTGATACAACAGAACTGTCTACCATCTCCCAAGCAAACAGACACAACCTAAAAGAACACAAATTGCATATCTTATATGAAATCACTGACGATCCCCAGTGTTAAACTTTTATTTCAAAAGTTGTGTATAGTTGGCGAGAAAGTACAAAGCATAGTAGCAAAGGAGACATTTTGGTTGAATACAGCTGGTAGCCTTCAACGGTATTTTTTAAATGCTAATGAAAATAAGAAAAACATGTAGGCTCATGTCGTATGCCCACAGTGAGGGAAGCAGTCGAGTCTGTTAGTTTTATCTGTGCAGGGAGGAAATAAGTTATTTCCAGTGGCACAGCAAAGCTGAGTGAAGCTGACAGTTCATGCTTTAATAGCTGGACAACAGATAAAATACTGGGCAATATGACTGGGATCATTAAAAGAAATGTTTAAGGATAGCAGCAAATGCAGTCTGCTTCTTTCTTTTGGAGACAGGAAAGAGAAGAGTAAGTTCAATGGATGTTGGTGGGTGTCATTGAAGCTGTCATGTGCTAGTGGAGGGCTGACTGACCTTCAAACGCTATGAAAGGTGTTTGGCAGAGCTACACAAGCTCAAGGCGATGAGTCAGCAGTGGCTTAATCACAGCACAGCTTCTAGCCCATCTGTACATCACTGTGGGAAATAATTGAAGTCTTAGTCCTGCAAGCCCATACACAAGCTCCGCTGGCACGTTCAACTTTCTTTTGGAGTCGCGTGACCCCTGCATATGGACCTCACGGGAAAACTGTGGGTTAAAGTTTTTCAAAGCAGCTTTTTCAAAGGCTCTTATTGGTGGCAATGAGAAGAAGAGTAAAAAGACTTTTCCATGTGAAGATTTCTAAATTTGCATGAAAAGTTTTGAGCAATCTGAAGAACTTTCTTTGTTATTCAGAAGGAATGCTTTCATTAATTCCTATTTACTTCTGGGAGATTGTGTGTTTTTAGCAGGAAGGATCATCTAAACTGACTTTATGTTTCAAATATAGGCTGTCTTAAACTGCTCTGGCTGCCTTTTGAAAATGCATACTAAATGATACTGAGAATCTACCAAACAAAAACATTTATTTCAGAACTTCCTTCTTGAGAAGAATCCAACTTTTCTTGGAATTGATATTTTCCCACCATAAAGTTAGTTTTGTTGAAACTGTATCTCTTGGCAAATATGCTTGCTACAGGCATGTTTCTGTTGGTTTTAATCTCAGCAGAGGGAGATATGACTACACATATGTAAGCAGAAGCTTCACTCATGAACGTGAGTGAAGCTTCTCCTCTCAAGAGAGAGGAGCTAAAAGTATGAATTGCTGTTATAGCCCCACTTGAATTGTAGTCAGCTAGCGCTGTTACTCCCCAGAGACTGGAATATCTGACTGCCTGGTTCTGTGCTTGATGAATGTCAAGCGTAACAAAAGGATTTCAAGTGACTGTGTAGAAAAATATAAATTAGTTTCTAGATGAAATTGCTAAAGCTGTAAGTTAAAGGCTTCTAGGAGACTTTCAATTTGGTTTTCCACCAATCATTTCTGTTCTGATAATTTTGCACTGGGAAAGATTATTAAAATGTAATGAATTGTCTTCTGTGTGCAAGTATCTGGTGTATCCTAAAGAGTGCAAAAGGAGGCGAAGTCCATTTGCACTGTATTTTATGGTATAAGACCTCTGGCTCAGGGCTTCTATTGGCTTCTGAAGACCAGAAAATATTTTACTTTTTTTGCTGCATGATCACAGTTTGTCTTCTGAGGTTTTTTATTTTCTCAGAAAAACTTTGAAATTAGAAGACCATGCAATAAGGAAGACTTTTTTGTTGCCTATTTAAGTCAACTCAGAAAATTGAAATTAAAAGATCATACAAAAAATAAGAAAGTCTTTAGTTTCTATTTAAGTCAGTAAGAGTCTGTCTACTGATTTGTAACTGCACCCAGCTTCAGCTGAACAGGATTACAGTAGTTTAATACCCATTCAGTTGTCTTACAATGTAGATTTATGCCAATTTCTAGTAAAATGAGAGTAAATAGAGACAGCAGATTAGGATAGCCAGAATAAGATGGTAAAACAGAATCAGCAGTGATTAGAAACAGATGATAGCCCTGTAAATAAACCTAAGCAATTCACTTTCAAAATTCTAAGAGCCTGAGGAAAGGCTGCAGAACAGATTTCAGTATTCCCTACCTTTTGGCCCATGCAAATTCAGATGGTGAGCAGCAGTTCTGCTTCATTTCTTCCTCTAAGGAGTGGTAGACTTCAGAACTGGCAGCTTCTTGGTGAAACTTCCAAAGATGCTTATAAAAACCTTCCCTTGAAGTCATGAGGTTTTCTATGGGCTTCTCTCGAAACTCAGCTTCCTGCTCTTCATAAGTTGAGCTGTCCTCTTCAGGAGGCTCACTGAAATCTGCTGCCTCTGGAGAATCCAAGCAGTCTTCGAGGTCTGGAGAGGTGCTGCCTCCATCACTGGTAGACTGATCCGTACTATTTCCTGCCTCTGTGCGGCCTGGCATTTCTGCCACAAACTCCTTAATTGGAGATGGTGCTGGAGTCTATCAAAATAATGGAAAGGTTAGTGTAACACCTTTTTTATCTCCCATCTTCTCTCCTTTAAGAACAAAATAATTTCCAGAGGCAATATCAGAATACAAAAATATTAAATGGTAACTGGAAGAGAGGGAAAAAATAGAGGGAGGTACTCTCTCACTAAATAACTGTTTTGTCTTTATGCTTATCGTCTGCATTCTTCAGGATTTCCAGACAGAAGTTCACTTTTCCCAATGAATTCTTTGCTAGAGGTGGCACTTTCTTATTTCTTTTCCTGTCATGCCTCAACTTTGTGTCTATGTTCTCTTTATTGAAGTGGCTTCCAGATTTGACTCCTGTGCAACTGACCACAGAAGTCAGCTAAGGGCACATTGCAGGAGCGCAACAGGAGCCAGTTTGTTATCTGGAGATGGTTCTGAGAGTTATTTCTGTCCATGAACAGCTTTTATAAATCCTAGTGGAAGTGGAACCGTGAGTGGGCCATCCTGCACGGAGCAAGAGGAATACAAGTATCTTTGTAAGAGTACTTGCGTATGTGTCCATGAGTTGTCAAGGAGGAAAAATAATGCTAGTACACCTAATGGCACTGTTTTAGTCTCTGCAGTTTCTACTGTTTGTTTTTTTCTTTCCCTTTTTTAACTCTGCAGATTCTGCTATCAATAAGCAGTTGAATAACCAGTTGAAACCTTTATTTCTTTTATTTAAGTTTATTAAGAGGTAGCATGGATGGCAAAAGTTCTTTATTTTCCTCCTGCTTTTGGGAGTAATATAGCTACCTCAAGCCCATGAGTTTTAATATCTGCAGTTGAGAATATCTTCAGTTTCTGGCTCAGAATCTAGTAGACCCTTCACTCCAATGACAGCAGTGCACTTCAAAAGTTGTTGAACTGGGATAAACATGTTTCACATCTATCAGATTTCCATTATTTTGGTTGCTAAGGAAGCCAGGAAGGGAGAGAATAGAGGGCCTTGGAGGAAAGGTTGCCTTGTTCAAGACTGGATGGAAACTGTAGTAGTGTGTTTCCAGGAACAAGTTGGGTGTTTTTACAGAAACACGTTTACTGACAGAAAGTTTGCCTTACCAGGGCAGTCTGCACTATTTCTGGAAGGACACCTTTTGGTGGTCTGCAAAGCAGTAGGGTGACTTCTGGAGGAGCTCCTCTCAACAAGTGCAGGACATCCTAAGCAGGAGGAAGGAATATTAGATTTCTTGTGGAACATAGTCTATAGTAAATAGCATTTTACCAACTGAGATGGAGACAATTTTTATTGTGAATACTAAATTCCTTGTATTTGTGTCTCTCCAAAGTGTTTGGAGGCCAAAATTCACTACTGTATGATTGTGATGTAAGTCGACCATAGTTTTTATGTGAATGTGTTTTTAAGCCAATTCTGTTCACAAACTTTTTTTCTACCAACAGACAAGACACACAGGTTTAAATTAATTATTTTTCTTTTCTGGAAGAAAACAGGCATGTATAATTACAACAGCATCAGGTGTCTAGAACTTTGTCTAGAACAAAGTTTCCAACTGATTAGCAACTGTTGAGCACCTAACAGTAGATTTTATGCATCAGAGATAGAAAGTTAGCAGAATTTCTTCCACCATTTAATTGATAAGAATTCTGTTAGGAAGGGAATTCTTCATAAGAATTCTAGAGAAGAATCCTCCATAGAAATCAAATTCATTATACATATTTTCTGACTCTTTCTGGTGATAATTAAGTTTAAATGCAGTTTCATCCCATTGTCTTTATTGACACGTTACCCATCTGGAGTCCCAGTGATAACATGGCCTGGTACCTGATACAGGAGTCCTTGAACAGATTTTCCATTCACAGCTAAAATGATGTCTCCAACTTCAATTTTGCCATTCTCTTCAGCTGGCTGCCCTGAAAACAGTCTTTTGATCCTGATAATAGCTCCTCCAAGGTGTTCATAAGCATCTCCTTCCATTTGCAGAACACTAAAGCCGAGGCCTCCAGAGTTCTTTGTCAATTTGACTTCAAATGTATTATCTGTTCAAAGCAGGGATTGGAAAAAGAGTGGGAGCCGTGGCATATGTACCCCCTAAGGAGCTGATGTAAGTTAGACCCTCAGCAGACCTTTTGCCTGTGTGCTGCAGAGGTAGGTCTACTCATACTAATGGAAAAACTCATGTGAGCCCTTGAAATTGCACAGGCAGAATAAGAGCTGCATTTTATTCCACTACATGTCCACAGACCTTATGTCATCTGGTACAGGCCCATAAAGGGAGAAGCCTTTTGTAACAACATAAAAAGGTTCAAATGCTATCCTTTTCTGACATTCTTCTATAAGTGTTGGGTGGATCTTACCATTCCCTAGCTGTCTGATATTAGTTTGGGTCCCGCACTAACCAGCATAAACTAGAATAGGAGCTACTGCTCTTTCTGGACAAAAACAAGAGACCAGTCCTTTCACAAATACCATACTTGAAGCTGAACCCCATTCTGCCAGGGACAATGTAGAGAAGTAACTGCCCCATAGAAAAGTATGGTTCAGACTTGGAGATGGCCTTACAGGAAAAGAAACAGCATTTATTTGTTGGCTAAAGTCAGTGAAAGTGATCTCTGAATCTTATGCTTGTAAGAAATGAAGTGATGGCAGTCTTCAGTCCTGGGGGGCAGCAGTTGACCCGGGCTTCACCACTGTCACAGCATCAGCAGTTGTGCTGGTGGTGCTCCCCTTGGGGAACAGACTGGTAACATATCAGCACAGCTGCCTCCTGCACGAAGGGACACAGGGACATCCCCTGCCAGCCCTGTCGCATGAAAGCTGAGGGATACAATATTTTTGCCTAGGATAAATTCGGCTATATCTAGTAACTGTAACTCTAAGTACGTCAGAAATATTTTCTTCAGAATTGATTTTTGACAATTAATAGTTTAACATTAATATTACACATTATATTTTTATTCAGTGTGCAGTTTTCCTTCCAACCCACAGAAATTTTGTAGAACTATTTTCATTCATTCCTTATTTGCGCATTGTAAGAAGTCACCCTGAGTTCCCTTTTTATCGCTCACCATCTGTCAAAAAGCAGTAGTCCTTGCTACCATCTGTGAAGGATGTTGCCTCAGAAACAACTGTACTTTGGTCCTCCTTTCTGTCATTAGCAGTCGGGCATGGCTCTGCCAGTTGGTAGCTTCCCCTTTCTAGAACCAGCTTGGCAATCTGGAACAATGATGAACAATTCCAGTTACATGGAACACAGTGAGCCCTAAGTCTTTTTACTTTTCAGGAGAATGGGGTTGCGTGGGGTGGGGGGGAGAAGTTTCTTTCAGCTCAGCTTTGCTACTGGGTATCTTATTGAGTTCTGCTATTACACAAACCTGGCCGGATTTCTTAAGGTGTTCCACAGCCTGTTTATGGGTGATGCCACAGAGGCTGATACCATCTACTTCCAGCAGACGATCACCTGAGGCAAAGGAAACAAGAAAAGGGTCAGGTTGCTCTGATGTTCAAGTTCAATGGGTGTAAATCTTGAGGCTGCCTAAATTGCAATAGATCTTCATGCTTACGTGTGCTAAATTATGTTACGCTGTATGAAAGCAATACTGCTCATTGGTTCGGCATTCTGTAACTAGCACTTAAAACGTACCAGGGTATTGTGTAAGTAAATGCAGTGATAGTATTTTGTTATCATAGCAGCACTGAAAGTAGATATCAGAGTCACTAGCTTGATGTGCAGCCACATAAAGCATCAGTACAAGGTTGGTATGAGGGCTCCTGTTGTTTTCAGAGGGATGTCTGCTTGTAGGACAGAGACAGGCTGAGGAATATATGACCTCCAATCCCAAATGTGTTTCACTGTCTCTGTGGCAAACATTGCACACTAATGTTGAGATCTGCCACCCAGACTTTACTACCAGACATGTTACCTGACTTTATCTGTCCGTCCTTAGCTGCTGGTCCACCAGGAATAATTGACTTCACATATATCCCACCGTGACGCACAGTAGTGTTAATTCCACCCTGCAAAACATGTGCTCACAGGTTAGAGTGGAATCTTTATATGTTCTTCCTCTCATAAAAATCAGAGCAACTTACATATGCATTGCAAAGAAACTGATTCAGGAATTACTTATTTTTTAAAATATAGGTAAAAAATGAAAGAGGATAATACTCCAATGTCCCATGTAGTTGTAATATACTTCCCTAGGCAGTAATCTTGTTTTATTTTCCCAGGAAAATGCAATGCATTTCTACATGGCTATACAAAAACATTTACTAAATGTTCATAATTTTCTTCCATATGCTAACATAAAGATGAAGCTTCATTTTTCTTTCAGTCTCTAGCCCAGCTTCCAAACTATGCCATACCCATTTGGCATTTATTAACCTTTCAGACAATAGCTGGACTTGTGCAGCCACTTGAAAGCCTATAGCTCAGAGAAATTCAAATTAACCTAACAGTCATGTTCTGTCCTACTACATCCTCTGGCCAAGTACAGATGAAAAAGGAGCCCTCAATTTCTTCTGTAGGCTTCCTACTTCATTTCAGCAAGGACTCTAAAGGCATCTCAGCCTGGAGGGATAAATTCAACTTTGATAGCAAGGACAAGGAATTACTATTCAAATACAGCAGATGGTTTTCACTGCTGCTTTCTCTGGTCATTTAAATATGTGGAGAACTGTATTTCCTTATGTTAGGAAATAAAACTGACTAGGAACCTTTGGTTTTCAGAGTAATAAGCATGGCATATCTTGAGTTGACTCAGCTAAACATCCCATTTGATGGCTTCTGGTTGTACTGCTTGTTGAGGCACAAGCCAAAGCTGTATTGAAGGCCATCAACAATTAAACAGTGCCTGTGGGCCACTACTTGAGCCTATGCCATGGTCCTTTGTAATCTGCTTGTACAGACACAGCCTCTGAGTTCCAGGAGCTCCAGGGGAACAGCAAAACCAGTCATGACTTGGAGAATTCTTTGCATCGCTGCATTTTCTAGAGTCTCTATCTATGTCCCTCCCTGACCATTTTCAGCGGTAGGTCCTGTTCTCAAAGTGAGTAAGGCTGAAAAGGGCTCGCACTGCCATGTGCTTTATGCTGGGACACTTCTTTCACAGACTCTGTGGGCAAGAACCAGGGAATGAGCAGAGCCAGAACTTCATGCTTTCTCTGACAATCAGTTGGACACTTAGGTTTGAAACATGCCGTGCTAACAGTTTTTGTTATCAGCCTATCTTTCATCTTCGTTCCACATAAATACACTTCCCTCTGTGTTTCCTGGTCATGTGCCAGTTTGACAGACACACTGAAAGATTAACAGTAACACTTGCAGTCACACTGATTCCAAAAGTCCCGTCTTCTTTAACAAGCTCCACAGTATAGATTTCCTTTGAGTTGGTTTCAGATGAAGATGGTAAGTGCGAAGAATCAGCTTCCTGTCTCAAAAATATAAACACTAATAAGACTATGGCATCTCAATTAAAAAGAGGGGGAAAGGAAGGGGGAAAAAAAAAAAAAGAGGCTTTCCAGAAGAAAGGGTTTGCTCCTGCTGTCACTGTAAGACTGGAGTGGCACCATTTATATCCCTGACTTTATTTCAAGCTTACACTAATATTAGTCAAAATAAAATCTGTCTAAATGTGCATGAGCTGAGTATAGAAGGGAGATGGCTAATAGTAGAAAACTAGACAAAAAATGTTTCTGGTTTATGTCTGACTGAAAACTTAAGAGATTGCAAGAAAATAATCCAAATTTTGTACCTCCACTGGAAGAGATAAGAGAATTTTAAATAACGTTTTATGGAACTGTTTCCCTGTTTTTCACATAGACATGTCTATCATTTTCACATTTCCAGTGTAATTTAACAAGCAATATCTTCCAACGTTTTCTTTCTCCTTTCCCTGTTTTTTAAATTTTGCTGTTGCTTTCCATTCTTAATATAGCTGGCATGTTGTTGAGACACATGTGAAGCATAATATTATGGAACAGTATCAATATCTCAGTTACCTCTACATCCAGGCTATCAGCTGAAGGAACTGTAATTCTAGGAGCCAGTTTTGGTGCTAAACTCCAGGAAAGTGCCTTCTCAAGTTCATCTACATTTATGTTCTCATCTTTGGGGATAGCTGTATGACAATCCTGAATCTTTTTTCTTCCACTGTCTACACAAGAGATTTCAGATCCGCTAGTGCTATTTCCTCTTGATAGATTCTTTTCTTCATTTACTCCGTCTTCATACATGTCTGTAAAGCCATACCAAAATAAGCTGAATGCACACAGTAAGTAAACTTGAAGGCAAATACTACTATACCTCAGCACAGGAGGACAAAGTAACTTCCTAAATCAACTGGTTGGGAAATCAGGTCTATAAAGTTAGTCAGTCGTTGTAAGCATGCTACTTTAATAAGTGTGAAGAAATGTGTTTGCTTCGTCACTGCCTGTGATGTTTGCTCCACATGTTTACTTCAGTGCGTTTACTTCACTACATAACTATTCGAGAAAATGCCAAAATTCCCTTGATATTCAGCAACAAAGCCCATAACATACTTTTCTCTCACTGACTGTAGAACAGAGATCATGATACAGACTAGAGGTTGACTATTTCCACTGCTAGCCTATGGTTATTATAACTGGCACTGAGTAACCAGAAAGTACTATTACATCCCAGTGCCTAATAAATACCAGTGCTCTGAGTTAACTATTAGCATTCCATAGCCAGGAGACACATTTGCTTTTATACCTTTGGGTTGAGAGATGATGAGTTCCACTTCATCAGGAGAATTCTGTATGATTTTAACTGCAGTATTAAATGAAACACCCTCAAGGCTAATATTATTCACAGAGATGAGTCGTCCTCCTTAAAAAAAAAGGATAAAAACAAGACAAAGCAGATCTAAATAAGGAATTAAATCCAGAGTAGCTAGCTTTAAACCATGAAAGTATTTTAATTCTAATAAAAACTAAGTACAATGACCTGGTTTGATGTTTCCAGCTCTGTCTGCAGGTCCTCCAGGGATAATTGAAGCAATAAAGATACCAAGGTCTAATTTTCCTACATTTTCTCCTCCAATAATTACAAAACCTGCAAAAATTAGATAGCATGAGAATGCAGAGACACTGGCAGTATTAGAAAAGATGAACATCAGGAGCGTAAAAGGCTCTTTCTCCAATGGCTTAAGTTTTATACATAGTCTGGAGAATGGGGAGCTCTGATTTACATGGCATTAAGATCTTGATTTGGGAGAACTTTAAGCTCATGTTATAATTAAAGTGTGCTGGTGACTTTGGTGGCTATTTAAATATAATTTCTCAATAAAATACTTTCCTATCTTGGGATTTTTAAAGATTCCAACTACTTTCTTAGAAGAATCATAAACTATGTGGACCTTAGAGTTTAACACCTGCAGGAGGAAAATAGTATAAAACCTCATTAGATAAGTTTGAACATTGTTCTTTATCATGTAGTCTAGAACCCCTAGACCAGGCCCCTAACTTCTAATGGATATGTAAAGAAAGTAAATCTATTGTCAAGTAGTTCAATTTCACTATTCTAGCTCAGAATATTCTGCTTATTGCAGAATACATTCTTCTAACTGGTAGAGCAATTGGGTTTGGGATCAAGATATTCCACACAGACCTGCACCACTTAGAAGTTTGATGTTTAATTGTGTTAATGGTCAGCTATGAAACCTGACGGTCCTCTAAACTTGTCCAGAAGAACAGGATACAGTGTGATAGTGTATCAAAAATGTGTAACAAAAACGTGTAACAAAAATGTTATCCAAATAAGAATCCATAAATCGGGAAACATCCATGTTAAGCTTGCGTATACATTTTGCACCCACCCAGGCAATAGCTGAAGGGTTTGCAGAACATGATCTACCCCTGTGTAAGGTCTAAGATAAATAAAATCACTCTTCATGTGTTTCAGATACAAAACTAGACCCTTGTTCCTTTCATTCCACTCTTAGCACTTGGTCCTCTTGACCTTTGTGGCCTTAGTTAATCCTCTGGAAAAAATGTGCTCCTGATTTATGTGCTTAGTCCTTTCAGTCTCGGAAATTCTATGTCCTTGGCAAAGATTGGTAGTCTCATTCTATAAGAAGAATAACTGAGGTGAAGAAGCTTACGGTTTTGCCCAGCTTGAGTCAGCAAGTATCAGTGTTAGCACCAGGATCTGATAATCCTGGTAACAAACATAACATTCATGCTCCTTACTTACCAAATCCATTCTTAGGGTCACGTCTTAGGCTGACACAAATGATTTCTCTTTCTAGACCACTTAGCAAAACTTCCTTTTGGATGGCTGGTGATCCAGGTGCTGCAGAAACAAAACAGCTAGAATAAATGCAGATTAATGCAGGGAGACAGTAGATTCATATAGTATGCAGAACTGGGGCTTTGAAAATAAAAAATATATTTTGTCCTTGTTTTCAACATTACCATTACTTCTGAATCAGGAAATTACTTCTAATTCAGGAGAGAAGCTTGAATGAGTATTTTGAAATTTTTATTCTTTGGAAAAGTATATGTACAGTTGCTGTGTAAGTTCTTCCTATAATGTTCTGTCCTGGATGACTATCTGTCCTGGATGGCTATGTATTTATCCACAATGTTTTTATTGAGATTAGCATATCTCAAGAGCCAGGAATGTAGCACTCACTGCATGTGAAGGTGATTTGGGCACAAAATCTCCTGTGAGTTTCTTTGGAAACTCTAGCCTTTGGCCCTGTGGGCCTTTTGGCTCTGTAGATGCAATCCAGTCAGCACTGATTGCAATGGTGCCTTTTGTAGTCTTAACACTACTTGACATTATGCAATTGCCACAGTGTGTTTGAAGTACAGTTACAATTTTTAAATGGACGAATCAAATAACCATAGCTTCATATTCTGTAGATCTGCTCACTGTGTGCAGTATGGCTTCTGTTAGAAAATGAGGTGTCCAATTCTTATTCCGGATTTTGTCATGAAAATGCAAGAACAGAGGAAGAACCTGGAGTCTGTGCTGTCTCATGCATTATCTATTGAGTTGTAGATAGCTATGGCAAACCAAAAGGGGACCTCCGAGTATAGGGATATTGCCCCATGTGAGAGTCCTGGGTGTGCTGAACTACGTCTCTGAAGAGCATTAGGTACCATTTATAGAATATTTTTATCCTTAAATCCCTTACCACCAATGCTATGGAAAGCAGGACCAAAAGGGAAGAAAAAAAGCTTGTCTTGTTAAATTCTGTGTTAATTCCCAGGAATAGAAGTGCAAAAGGATATTCTTTAATCTGGAAGTAGAATGTAATTTCATCTCCTGCTATTGAAAAAATAAATATAGAAGGATACTCTCTCTCTTTAAGATTATTATACTCACCACTGATTGTGTTCTGAGTTGAATGGATGGAGAGGTAGTCATAACTCCTTTGCTTTCCATTCAGATTGATGTGCATTTCTGACTGGGATAGCCCTGATGTGGATCTGTGCAGGAGGAAAGGAAGACTGCATTACGATAACAAATAAGCAATGGTGTTTAGCTCTTCACTGTCATTAGTCTATCAGAGCCAAGTAGGGAATGCACATGTTTATAGCCTTGCAACATGTATTCTGATTTCTGGGCCACATTTCATGGTAGGGGAGAGGTAGTTTATCCTCACCAGCATTTGCTTCCAAATAACAGCTGCCTATAGACTACTCACATCATGACTGATTTCCCCCTGTGTTTTTCTCTGAGCTGAGTGCAGGCATCGGGAAAACACAGCGTAGCATCAGTATGATTCACTTAGCCTTGCTGTCTGTTTAGACAAAACCACTTCTGAAAGTTTTCCTGGTAGTTTGTGTTCTTCTTGGCTCTGTTCTATCTATTAGTATCTTAAAATGCACTAGAATTCATCAAAGACCTTGAGACTATGTGTAGCTATAGTAACCGCCTACACTAGTGAATGTACCAATGCAAAAGAAAAGAGAAGAGTTCTTACACTGTACTCTATGTTTTGCACTTTTAGACATAGAGGAATTAGTTAGGTAAGATCTGCTCAAAACCATCTTCCACTGTGTATTCAGTTCATATACTTCCATTTCCAGAGAATATACACAGATATTAAAGCTTTTACTTTTATTCTCCCTTATTTTTATCCTTCCCCTTAACCCATTAAGCGGTTCACTCCTGAGTCTGGTACAAATTTAAATGTCACTCTTTGTCAAGTTCTTATCTGTTAGACTGTTCACTTCCTGCCTGTGTTTGCACTACTGCTGGCACCATGGAGCTCCAGGTCTCCAGGTCTTTTTGTGTTACCACAATAAAGACAGGGAAGAAAAAAAAAAAAAGTCTGCCTCAGTATTTACCATCGGGTTTTGCAGTGGTAGTAGTCTATGTCTGAGTATTCTCACACACACTTAGGGGAAAAAACAAACCTACCTGCCAAGGTTGCTTTTGTGTCTAGTCCTGGTGTTGGTTTCCACACTGAGGTTATCACAAGATTTGCTCATCATCCCAGCAGAAAGGTTTTCCACGTTTCCTCCATAAAGCACATTCTCTGAACGAGACAGTCTCTGAATCAGGGCAAGGTGTTCACGCTGAGCTGCGTATGCAGAATTTGATTTGTCTATTTCCAAAAATTTACTTTCCTCTGAATAACAAAGGAGAGAGGGAGAGGAAGGAGAGATAAACCTACTGATAGTATCTTTTTAAGCTCAAAGATGCTTTCTGTATAACTTTTTTAACATGCCAGCAAAAAATATTGACATCACAGATATATTCATTCTGGTGTCCTTGAGAATATGTAGGTTCTGGAATAAGTGGAAAGGGTTTCCAATTCATTTCTTCTATAGAAAATACACAACATATTTAGATTTCATATCTATAAATTATACTGCAATTTCACTTTCCACAAAGACAGATGAAATGTACAATCCTGTGTAATTTAAATCTGAATATCTCTGTAAAGTATGTTTTGTGAATGTTCAGTGTATGAGAAATATCTGTCTTTCAGAGACTGAATTAGCCAGGTCGGTAGTTTCTCATCTTTCATGGGCCCACCACTCTAGTGTACGTATATCTGAGAAGACAGCAGCTCTACTAACACATGCTCTCTTCAGTTCAGAGGGGCCAAGGAGCTGGCTGTTTGCTCTGAGCGATTTGCACGAGTGAAGTTGAGTAGGAGACTCTGTTGGTGGCAATGCTTGCTATCCAATTTTCCACCTCTGTGTGAAATCTGCTACTTGCTTAATGACATACAAAGTCTGCTATATATGAATCTGTCCTCTCAGAAGATTTTACTTCCCTGAAACAAGGTACTGCTGGAAAAGGCATTGTTAATTTATTTCAGTTCTCAGCTGGTGGGCTAGAGAGAGACTTTGAAGGAGAGAGGGAGTGCAGGCGATTGGAGACACACTGGAAAGTAAAACAAGAAACCTGCTTGGTACAGGGTAGCACAAATGTGGGCTTTATTTCAGTTTGTACATGACCGCTGACCTCCCATGTGTTTTCCTAACAAGTATTAGCCGGAATACAACTTTCTAGAACACTAATCTGCAGCATTAAACCTAGGCTTCCTCTTTCCTCGGTGACTTTGATCAGGGGTATTTGTTAAGGCATCAGAAGGCTTAACTGTCCACTGTATTAGAGCAGTCTTAGAGTTGCCATGGTGATCTCCAAGGAGGGGATTGCTAGCAAGTTTTGAAGAGATGATGACTTATACATCTGAACAGTGCAGCAAAAGCAAAAGTTTCTCTCATGGAGAAAGAGACTTACTATCTATTACAGTCTTGCTATGGTGGCAAAGGCAGCATTTTGAACTACTATCCGCCGTTGCCTTCACAAAGCTTTTATATCTGGGACAGCAAGTACATGTTGAACTTCAGAAACTGCAGTCACACAGCTTGTGTAAGTCTGGCTTGTTTCAGTGATTTGGGGTGCTGGTAATCAGGACTTGGCTTAATTTTCTTAGCTCTCAATCTTTTTGTTCTCATATATGGAATGTAGTAATTTTTAAAATTATGACTATCACAAGCAAGTGTGACACAGGAAACTTTAACGTTCACTATTAACACTCATTTTTATGCTACAAATCACAGTCCCATTAAGTTATGTTTGAAGCTACAGGAGCCCAAGCAAAAGAAGTTGCCTTGAACCTAAATGTCATTGTCGCATCTTTTTCCGTGCTAATGAATGTGCAGGTGGAACTTCATTTTTCATGTGGTGATTTTAATGGGAAAGAAGTAATATATCAGTCATTCTGTTATATCCCATGTTATAATTTGTTGCCAGCACTTTTACAGTTTTACTAGAGAAAGGAGTGTCCCAGCAGGTAAGGTGTGATACTTGATTCTCCTTCTGTGACTCACTGGGTCAAATACTCAGTGGCTGTAAATGATCATGAGTCTGTTACAGGCAATGGATGAGCTTGTGAAAAATGACATTGCTCCAGTGAAGTCAAAAGGGATGACAGTTGTCAGTTTAGGCTGTTATTTCTTATGTGCCTCAGTTTCCCCACAATGATCCTCACCCATCTCTCTAGAGTATGCTGAGAACCATAGTGAGAAGTGCTATGTAACTGCCCTGGGCTGAGCAGAAACTTGCCTCAAAAACTATTGAAAAAATCTAAAGTCTAGGGAGGTGTTAGTCATACCTTCCACACACATTGCAAAACCTAAGATAAGAGCAGCCAGCAGCTACATAGTTGAATTGGTATTACTGATGTGTCTTTGGTTTAGTGGTTTTGCCCTGGGACTGAATTGTAGGGCTGAACTCCAGTTTTATGCAAAGATAAGGTAACTGAATTCAGCACCAGCATATCTGGGCACTACTATAGTTATTCTTTGTGTGAAACATTTCTCAGGTTACATTTGGGGTAAGTCTGTTTCTTCAGAATTCTCAGCAGGTTTTCTGAAAGAGAGTGTAACCATGCTTTTTAAAAAAAATCTGAGTTTAGCTACATAGTTATGATCACCACAGAACCTCTATCCCCTGCATGTGCCCACTCACATGCTAAATTAGACTTACACACCTCTAACTTCCAGTGAAGTAGGAGACATTATTTTCTAGAAACATGAGAAACTGAAGCACAGTGAAACTGATGTAGCAGGTCCTCATTCTCAGCTTTGCTACATACACCTTTCCTAACTTAACCTCGTCCTATGGCCTGAATGAACGAAAGTTCATTTATACCTCACCTGATGAAGTTTGCCGAAGTTGCCTAGAATTCATCTGAGCATTGAATTTGTGCTGCGCAGAGCAGAGATCCAGTAGATATTTACACGTTTTTGCTGTATCGGTAATGAAGGTGTGTTTCTTGCCACTGAAGCTGCTTTCAATCATGAATTTTTTTCTCTAAAAGGAAAAGAAAAAGCACAGCCTGCTTCATATATCAGTCATTACATCGAGATATCTGTCACTGGGATCATAGCTGCCCTAAAGCCATAGCTGTGTCTAAAGTCAAGAGCCTTTGGCCATTGACTATGTTTAGAGCAGGTTGATAGAACTGGCAAAATTTGACCCTACAGATGTTAAAATGGTTAAATCTAATTAATCTGAAAATTAAAATATCTTCAAGGGGCAGAAAGGCCATTTTGGAAGAGCAAACAGGCTGGGAAATGTGTGATGCTGATGTCAAACCTACACTTTATGATGGTAGATTCATAGATCTCTGGTGGCATGGTACCATTTGGAAAAAATCACAAACTTGTCACCAATACTGGTTTGTTAACATATCAATATACTGACAAATGAGAATAGGAATAATGAGATCTGGAAAGAGGGGGACATGATCCCATGACCTGATGGTAGGAAAACAAAAGAAAAGAGAGAAGTAAGGACAAGAGAGGAATGAATATGGTATATGCCATAAAGAGGTTTGACATGGTCTCTGTAGTAGTCAACACCAGATAATTCAGTTTTACAGTAATTTTACTCCAGCCTTGGAAAAAAGCCTCCAGATATATACCTCACTAACAACTGGATATCTTGGTATCCACATCCAGATTGAGCCTTGATTTTAGACTGTTCTCAAAAAACAGTGGCCCGTACACATCGTCTAATTCTGGCTCTCAATGCAATAAATTTATCAAAGTGACAGGAAGAAGGGGAGTAAAGTAGTAAAGTGGAGAAGAGATACACTTGGTTTCAACTCACATGAGCTGAAATTCTCTCTGTTTCACGCCACTGGAATCTTAAACTGGCAATTCTTGTGTGATTTTTGACTTCATACACAATGATGCCTTTGGCACAGATTCCCAGGATGATTTCCCCTCCCGCTGCTTTCTTCTCTGGGGACACACGATAGAATAACACTCCATATTCAGGAAGTTGCTGAGTCACCTTGTGAATAAAAAGTGTGTTTACTATGCATTATTCAAAAAGAGGCGTGGGAAGAAAAGGTAGGTAGATCGGAGAGGGAATGGATTCAAGTGTCAGCACTGATGTACTCAGCATTACTGCAGCTTGGCACTTGTGGGCATTTCTGAAAAGAAATCCATGCAGGTTTAATGCTGCTTGATTAGTATTAAACCTTGTTTCTTTCCATTTTCTTTTCTTGTCTTCGTTTCCCTGAGTAAACTCAGAAACCGTGAGGTACAGCAAATATGGTGCTCTTGGTGAAACTGCAAACACTTTGGTGCCAGGGCTACTCAGACATGGTTATTGGGCTTGTGTGGTTTCTTTTCTACAATAGTGATTACCAGCTGGAAGTCTTAACTGCAATGGTACCACAGCTCCCAGCGTGCAGTGAATTCACTCAGGTACATACACCTGTTCCTTCATGGCTATCAACTTTTACAGTCAGACAATATAATTTTCCATTGCCAAGAATCTTAAGTTCTAGAGTTTGCTAAATTGTACCTCAAAGTATCTCACCTAAATGTAGTGGTGACTTTTGAGGGAATTTCACTGCCCCAGAATTCCCTTCAGTGCCAGGCTTTATAGTAACAGATCTTCAGCGCTCCCATGAAACTTCTTTCTTGCAAAGTGCTCCTTGCTGGGTGAAAAGTTAAGGAGGTTTATAGTTCAAGGAACTGAGGAGCCAGCTTCTGCCCCTGCCATCTAACTGTGCAGAGGACACGCTGAAGAACTCACACAGAGGTTCTGGGTTGTGGTGTTTGTCTTTCTACCTCCAGCACTTGGCCACAAAATGTTAAAATGTAACTCAGACCCTTTACAGAACTTTGGAATATGAGGAGGGGTTTGTGTCCTCTTTTGTAATCTGCAGATAAATATGAGTTTATGCTAAATTTTTTTTTTTCTGGGAAGCTAATGTAGAATCCCCAAATGACTTTTCAACCATGAATAGAGATTTTCAGTGACCAAAATAAAACACTTTAAGAAGATCTGTTTTTCAGAAAGTATCTAGAGCACAAATGTTCAGGTTCTGAAAACTGGGGCATCTATAATCACTAGCTGAATCTGGGTTTTAATTTTTAATCCCTTTCATATTTGGAATTTGCAAGTTCTTGCCATGGGGGCTATCTTTCTCACTTTGTGTGATGTGTTGACTCCTTCTGCAGACTTATTCACTGGAACACATACTGACAAAGCTGCTTTTCGTCACTGGATTTGCCATGCATGATGGGACTGTCATTAAGGCTAAGCTTCAATCTATTTCTTCAATTCCACTGACACTGTCAGGATGAGGAACTAACATAATTAAACAGCAACTGAACTGAAATGATGCTGTAAATAAAAGCATGTGGCACTACTGCAAAATGCCTACAAATATTTATGCATTTTCTAATCCTTGATATTTCTCATTTGATGGAAAGCAGATAAGTTTAGGGGAGGAGAAATTGGGGGGAAAAATTAAATCCTGTATCATCATGACACTCTAGAGCCTTAGAGAAACAGTCATATGAGAAAATACTCCAGATAACTCCTTCCTCACTTCCAGGGTTTACAGATATTTTAAAACAAATAATCACTACCTGTCTAGAAAGCTGCTATAGTTTCAGAAGTCCAGAAAGTGCTTCTTCCTGTTTTATAATTTTCTCTAATACAATCAATAGGTATATTTATAATCATATGGAACCCAGGCATGTTGGTAACATGGTGAAAATTGCATCAACCCTCAGGATGTTAACTCTTTATAAACTATCTGTGAAAGGAAGCCTACCATGTAAATGTGATGTAGGTTATTTAGAGTGACAGTATCTACAGCAAAATGAAATTCTGAGGTTTTTCTTGACTATTCAAATTTTTTCACTGTATCTAAGATCCACCGTAACACGCAAGGAAAAAATAATAGACAATAGTCAATAAAGAAGGTATTTCTATCTGAAAATAAATTAATAAGGCTTAGGGGATGGCAAGTTACCTTTAAAAATTCTAGTTCAGCTTCATCCTCAAATAGGGAACGATTCATACGATGTAATTTAGCAAGCTCTCGCTGTACATATGCCAAGGTCATTTTCTCTATTCGGCTTGCTGGAATGTAGTCTTCAACACGAAAATAGCTCTTTCCGTGCATCTTTGAGAGAAAAAAAATGAAAGAGCAAAAGAAAGAGGAGCCTTCTGTTCTTCTTTGACTTTTCTTATTTGGTGCATTTCCCTTTTCCGAGTGACCCCTATGCTGTAGTCACCCTTTTGCCTTTCCTAAAAGAAGGTGGGGAACAGCGGGCGGTGTCCTGACAGCCAAATGTGGCTCTTGCTCCTGTGCTCAGCCAGGTGCTCAGAGCACACACTATTTCTCTGCGTGGGGGAGAGAAAAGAGCTGCCCCGCACGCACACCAGCAGTCTTGCACTTAGAGCTGACAGCTACAACTGCGTCAGTACAGCCTGCAGTGGGACACCCAGTGCCGAGATGGATCCAACTAGATGGGTCAGACCACTCAGAGTTCAATTAATAGAGCTACACTGATTTATATAACTGAAGGTAGGGCAGAGAACATAAATGAGTACTTTTTGTACACTTCAAAACTAGGATAACTACTTTAGATATACCTTCTTGTCTTTGCCGCGTGTGGATCTGAGCCTATACACAAAATAGCTGTGAATTCTAGAGTGTTTATTCCTTTTTTTCTCTCCCATGTTTTCTAATCTCTTTAAGACCCTCTGCACATCCAAGTTGTGCCTATGTTGGAAATTTTCTACAGTTTTTCTGGAGCATCTGGGCTATGTTATTAATTATGAAGACCAAGAGTCTTTCATCATTCTGACATATTTCCTGCCAAATTTCTCTGAATCATTACTGCTCCTTAATCAGGCAGATTTTGTAATTTTTGTAATTAAATCTGAAAAGTAATTACTGAAGGACTTATCTGAAATTATGTGCTATTCAAATTTCTTATTTCAACTCTATGACAAACAAAAGCTGAAAAAGCTGTTAAAAGAGACCTCTGAGAAATATTGTATTATTTATCCACACCTCAGAAGCATAATTGCCAAGCTCTGCCTGTAAAGCCAAAGCGCCGAGTTTCAGGGCAGTCTCATCATTGCAATATAATCGCTCCTCCAAAATATCTTTACGAAGCTGCAGGTAAAACTGATGCCTTGTCAAGCCATGCCTGGAACACAAAAAAGTTTAGGAACACAAGAGAAGCATTGAACAGTTGCACTAAATGCTACTGGTTTTCCCACAGTCAGTGGAATCATGTACTTACTGGATAACATTGAAGTGGTTGACAAAGAATTTTATCCTTAGAAAAAGTGTGAAATTAATGATGGAGGTTTTCTTCTTGGGTTGGTCATTCCAGCCATCTGGGGCCACTTTGTAGAGTTTGGTGTCCTCATCCAAAAAGAAGAATTCTTTACCTGAAATGAGAATTTTGGAACCTGTAATAAGTCTGAAGAGACTTCAGTAGCTCAGAGTTCTGCTATCTTCATTCAGTGCATCACTAGCAATAAAAAATAAAATGGATCATGGAAGTCAGTTGAGGTTTATTCTCTGTGTCCTGGCTTAACTTGTTGCTTCTTTGATGGAAAATTTAGGATAACACCTAGTGTGTAATTTAGGATTACTATTGTTAGATGCTGGATTGGTCTGATATCTGTGGAATCACTCAAGAATTGATGGGCCTTGCATTCTGCTCACAGTTTGGGTTCTGCACCCCATTGTAATCTTCATGCCCTACACACAAGGCATGTTTCTTCCTACTGCCTCAGTAGGGCTTGCCATCAGAAATTGGCTAGGAAACTGTGGGTCTTGTAGATTAAATAGCTGAGCCTAAACTCCAGGATCTCCTAAACTCTAGGAACAAACACAGTCACCCTTCCTCAGTACAGTGCTCCCTGGAATTTCTGCTGGAGTATATGGCTCACTATTATTCCAGTGCAAGGCTGGAACACAGCCTTTTCTGCATGGGAATATCAGCCTGTATGGCTGTGCTCATGCACCCTAGGGTACACATGCTTTACGTCAATGAAGTACAGTTTAAACCAACTTACCTTATTTTTGCTTAAGCTTTGAATCTGCTTTCATCTAAGGATCTTAAAAGATCTTACTGGAATTCATTAATAAGTGCCTACAGAGGCGTCGAGGCACTAACTACCAACTGTAGTTAGCTGTGTTTCATTACCTTTCAGGTAAGCCAAGCCAAAGTAGAAATGTTCCACCAAGTTTGCGTACGCCACCACGGTGTTGAAAACATCTCTTGCCTTGGACTTGATGTCACATTGCACCTCAAGGCACTGCCCATTGAGTAGAATCACATTGAGATCCCTTTGGGACAAATAGGATTTCCCTTTTTTAGTCTAAGAACATGTAACAAAGAATAAAGAATGAGTGCCAAGTACAAGCAATGCAAGTTCCACAGCATTTTACTTCTGAGGCCTCCTAGTCTACTGTCTCTACATAACCTGATGGAATTGGTCACAACACTATGCTATTCCTTGCATCCTTTCTCATACATTGATATCCCAAACATTTCTAATTTTTTTAAAAAACAGGGAATCCTAACAAAACAGCTGAACATATTCAAACTCTACAATCAGCAGGATTTTTCTAGATTTTAGGGTAATTCCAAATTTTCTTTGCACTCATTTTTACTGCTGTATGGTGTTAGCCTTTTACGTTACCTTAATGAAAGTTAGAGGATGTGCCTGTAAACTGGAGGAGTGCAATATGTTGGCACTTGATGTCACATTGTATTTTTACTCTTCATCTCAAAAGTCTTGTGCTAAAGTGAACATTCTTAGCTGAGAAGGATAAATTAAGCTATTTTCACACCAACAGAAATAACTACATAGCACTAAGAATTAAATGACCTCCTTTCATCTCAATAACCCTGCAGGAACCCGAACTTCGTTTGGGAGGAGGACACAGCAAGAATATCGGTTGGGATTCAGGTGCAACTTACAAAGAACCCCAACTAAAATGTCTCTAGATTAGTTCTAAATTCTTACTTACCACAATTGATCCAGGCAGCTGTAAGGTCACTGGTGGTTCACTAGACAAAATAATAAATTCTGGACCTGAAAACTGTAAGGAGGCAATTTAGAAATTTTATAAATGTCTCCTTAATGTAATGAAGACCCCAAACGCCAGTACCAATGAAACCCATTTCTGTTGATATGTAGGCTGTAGCTAATTGACTTCAATGTCTAAAAAGGTGCACATGCTAACTGAAGACTTCTCTCTGGGGTCTCTCCTGTGTGGACTTTCTAGGGTTTAATTAGGGGTAAGCTCATGCTGAAGCCTTTTCTTCTATAAAGGCACTTAAATCAAGATCCATTTCTTTTGCAAGGCACCTGTTTTCATGACACTTAAAGAAACTTAATATCTTCTGATACCTTTTCCCATTTGATTCCCAGGGTATGAGGAGGACAGTCACAGACATGTACACACATGCACATGCACACCACTGTGATTTCATAAGCCATAGGGAGCCAGACTAAAATGCAGAGCTGCTTTCTTCCCTGTAATAAAGGTTGACCGATATTTCTTATTATTCTTCTGCTTTAAATTTAACAAACTTCAACAGCATAAGATGCTACGTTTTTATACTGAGCTTCCACCTCAAGGGGTTTTTGTATTGGATTTTTTTCAGAAACATCTAAGCTTTTAGATCCTTGAAGTAGGCAGAAATAACTATATGTCCGCAAGTGGTAAGATGTGGGTCCTTTCAACCGTTATCCATGACTTAGTACCCTAACCCATTTAGATCTTTTTTTTGAGAAAGTTTATGGTTTATTTCACAATAGTAGTATTGTCCTGCCAACACAGTGCAGTTTTATATTGCATATAAAGAGGGACTAACACTTTGTTGTAACAGTTGCTGGATTCCTTCTGAGGAATTCATTTATTATTCCAGCAAAAATCAAAATTTAAAATTACATTTATTTATAAAAAGATAATTTTCCAAAGTATCTAACTGAAATTCTTGATCAAAGTTCTGCCACTGATGAGTCTTGAGTTTGTGAACTGGAAACAGGTGAAAGGACTCAGCAGCCTGAAACCTGTCCTTTCTTCCACAACAGAAATCTCCATGGGCAGCAGCATTGTGGAGTTTTCTGTGAATCAGTTATTTCTGGGGTTTTTTTGTGATCCAACTGCCGAAGAAACATCCTTCCCTTTTAACAGAGTCCTGTAGCAAATTAGCAACTAGAAATAGACCCTTAGGTGAAGTATTGGCTTGCCATATGCACTGCTAGCCTAAGCTCTCTGCACCATTGACCAGCAAGTGGTTTGCATTCAGTGTTTCTGTAAAAGGTTTTTGCTGTTCTAAAGCTCCTGTCAAAGTAGTTGGTGAAAACAGTCCATAGGGTGTTTGATGTTTGGAGAAATCACACATGGAGGTCACAGAGGGTTGAATTATAAGCTTTTGCTTAGTCTTTATGGATAAGATCTTTCACTGCCTTCAGTCCTGCGTTATCACAAGTGGATCGTGCCTAATTTGGAGTCTGTCAGTTTAGAATACTCATCTAATCAGATGACTCAGTAGCTTACATGCACGTCACTGGCAAACAACAACTGGATGAGAGGTTTCTCTTTAGTGATATTTCCATTTTGAAATCAGCTTATATGTTTTTCGTTAGTCACCTTTTCCTTCCTGTGGAACAAACATTTCTGCGATGCAGCAGCTGTTGTGTAGTCCTTTGTAGACATGGAGAAGGTGGAACCTAAACTTAGCAGGTTCTGTCTGCTGTTCTTCTGAGTTCCACTAGGGATTTCTTCTACAGCGCTGACTGACCTTCAAAGAAAATGTCATAGTGAACAATATATATATACACCATGCAATCAGAACAACACAGGCTCGAGGACAAAAAACTTAAGGTACAACCAAAATTTTATGAAATCCAGGGCAATGTCAGTTATAAGTTGTTAAATGCTTCTTTACAGAAAAATAATTTAACAGGAATAATATCACCAATGCTCTCTATAAATAAATACAAACTCTGCTTTAATTCAATAACAGTCTTTTATTTTTTTTCCACTTTGGCGAGACAGTTCTAGCTGGTTTAAATCTGATGAAGCCAACAGGCAAAGAATTTGGCTCCATGCTTTTCTGGTAAGCCTATAGGATGAAGTCAGTTCCTCATTTCTTGTTTTCCGAAGCAGAAAAACTTCAGAAAACTCTAACACTTGTTACATTATTCACAATTTTTCAGGAATGGGACCTAAATTATTTGAATACTAATTCATTAAAATAAATTAATGTCTTAGGAGCTGAGGGAATTTTCAATTTCATTAAGAGAAAGGTGTGTAAAATCTCAGATCAGATAGCTGTCTTTATACTATACTTTTAACTCATAAAGTAATGGTGTTTTCCACACAAGCAGGCACAAATATGCTTAGAATAAAATTAAAATAGAATATATACTCTTATCAATGAGGAAAGAATGATTATGTGGCATAGAAGGAAAGGTTTTGTTGAGGTGGATTTTTGTTAATTACATTTTTAACAAATGCCAAAGTCACGTGGCAGCTTTTTTTGTTATCTCAAAGTTTTATCCTTTTCTTTGGCATGTTGCAGAGTTGCCTTGAAGGACTATTCAGGAAGCTTCAAAAGGTTTTTATCAAAGTTGCTGGAGTAACTGGAGATCTCCCTGGTATTCAGTGACAGGACACATAGGGATGGTTCAGAGCTGCATCAGGAGAGGTTCAGACTTGGTAACAGGAAGCTGAGAGGGTGGCCAAACACTGAAACTAGTTTCCTAGAGAGGTGGTCAATGCGCTGAGCCTTTCAGTGTTCAAGAGGCATTTGGACAATGACCTTAACAAAATACTTTATATTTTCCTGAGCCTTGAAGTAGTCAGGCAGTGGGACTAGTTGATTGTTGCAGGTCTCTCCCAACTGTTCTATTCTGTTCTAGTTCACATTCCTCTTTCTATAAAGATTTCTAGATATCTTTGTTTCTCTCAATGCAACCTCATTAAAATCAACATTTAACTAAGCAATATTCCTGAAAATGACCTGAAGTGACTTCTGTGGGTATAAAAATACTATTAGCTCAAAACCCAAGATACTGTATTAAGATTTTCTCTTCCTTTGGAAAACACTCTCTGTTACTTGTCCTGAGAGGTGGGAGATGCCAGACTTGACAGCTGTATCTTCTTTATATACAGACCATAGCTCTGCATATACTTACAAGCCTAACTTTATGAAATGTAAATTATGTCAGCTGGATTGCTTACAGAAATGAGCATGATGATATTAGTAAGCTTTATAGACAGTAAATCCATCACTTAGTTTTGTGTTAGTTGTCCTTCTATATGAGAAATTGGTGCTTTCCAAGCTAGTTATTTCAACCCCACTGTTGTCACAGTACTTACAATAGAATGGTGACCTTGGTAGAAATTCAATTGCAGAGGCTTATGACCAGAAGTTGGATTTACAATCCCTGAAGTTCCAGCTTGCTGGAAATCTAGAGAGCTCATTTTTCAGCAGAGGGGAACATTTTCCTGGCAGCATGATATTAGATCAAGGATATCAAAACGATACCCAGGTTTGTAGTGAGAGGCATGGCAATTGCTCCAAAATGTTCAGTAAATAAATCTTTTATTACTGATATTATTGCCAGGTATGTGATGCACATATAGATGTCTGAATACAAACACATATATATGTGTGTGTAGACAAGTAGGCAGTGGCTTCCCTATTCACAAAGGCTACCACGATCCTGCAGCCTGCTTGTAGTTCTTTCTTATTGCAGGTTTAGAGGTGTATTAGGGTATGTCACATCACTGATTATCATGGCTGATTTATCAGGAAGTTCAAACTGTTTATTTGGGATACATTTAATTGGGAGTTGGTCTAAATGGAGCATTTCCTGTGGTCCTGAATTACTCATGACATGGTTAACTGGGTCAAGAACTCAATTTAAATGAGATGTCAGGAGGGATTACTTACTGGTGCTTAACTATGGGACTCTGGTCTTTGTGGTTCCTAGAGGCTAACAGTACTTACATCTCTTCATTGGGAAACAGCCATGATTGAGTAGAGCTGCACTATACTAACACCTAGTCTGGAAAACTCTTGTTTGGCAGCAGTGGTGTTTCTCTGGCTTTTAAAAACGAGTTACTATCAGTTGTGCAATTCTCAGCTTTCATTGTCTGTGTCTACAAGACTGCTGTACACCCCACAGCTGAAATGAGGCTAATCCTCACGACAGAGCAGAGGTCTTTACTGCTTGTGTCTCTGGGTTACCTGTAACTTCACTGAAGTGGCAGCACAGGGATAGATATGGCTGACACAAGTGAGACAAATCAGTCTAAGAACTGAGATGGAAATGCAAATAATCCACTGAAAATTTGCCAGGAGAGGTTGTGGACGGCCCCTCCCTGGAGATGTTCAAGGCCAGGTTGGATGGGGCCTCGAGCAACCTGATCTAGTTAAGGGCATGCCTGCCCATGGCAGAGGGTTGGGTTAGATGATCTCTAACGTCCCTTCCAACCTAAGACATTCTGTGATTCTCAAATGATAGATCATATACATAATCTGTCATAATCAGTCCAGAACACATCAGGCCTCCACTAATGTGATAGCGAGGCAAGACCAGATCCAAAATCTGAATGTAGACAGATATGGACTCTGCAGAATGCCTTGCCAGTGGAAGCAATGACTGCTTATACCTGCATAACAGGTTTTCCCGTTCCACACCCTCTGTGGGGCTGCTTCCCAGTAATAACGCTCCACACTCTATGTGGAGCTGCTTCACCTGGTAATAAAACAACTTCCATCTTTTAAGAATATGAGTTCTGATTACCTGTTTATGAAGAGCTTGTAGCTGCTTTGTGTCCTTGATCCACTAAGAGTGGGGTCCCATGACCTGTGTGTCTGTTGAACTTTCCCTGAAATGAATAAAGGAAATTTCACAGTTGAAGAAATGGTAGCAGCACTCAGCATCAGATTTTGGGACAATTACAAGAGGAAGGATATTTAGACTGGCTACTTCCTCCCTTGTGTTCTTGCTTGGGCATGATAAATGGCTTTTTGATAAGGCTAAGTGACTAGTACACCAGCAGTATTCCCAGTTCTCTAGTTATTGTTACTTCTTAATAATCCTTCCTGTTAATATAGTTTGCAAAATAGCTATGCAGGTACAATGACTGTTATTTTCATGTGTATGAGGATGACCTACGAAACAGCTTATGCTCTTCAGAGATTATCCCTAGTATTCTTTGTTCTTCCATTTCCAGGCATAAAATCAGAGTGAGAGGGTGGGGGGAAAAGCCATGAAACTTCTCTGGCTTAATCAGAGTAGGATATAAAATCCCTGAAATATTCCACTGGTTATTTGCTACATTAAATGTATTGTGAATATTTTTCCATCATAAAAATCTAGTGGGAATATAGGATGGTTTGTGAGTCATTAGCAAATAAGATTTTTATAATTTTTTGCCTTCAGTGATCTCTGCTGCTACAGAAAGGATAGGTAATGCTTTGTCCAAATACATAAACACTGAAATTTAGAGATAGACCCAGAAAGATGTATTTGAGTTGTAGTTCCATGAACATTTCTTCTAGCAGAGAGATGTTTTGCATCCTTTAGGGAAGGAGTGGGAAGGTAGAATTTTTCCTCACTTGGTTCATTTCATTGATTTCATTTGAAGAATTGTATATAAAACTATTATATAGGCAGAATAATAGAGATGATGAGTTATGTGGAAGCAATCATTTTTGTCAGCTTTTCCTCCAGATAAAACATCCCTGAACTACACCCCGACACTTCGCTCTGAAGTGGAAACGTGACATTGAATTCTTCAATACCAGCTACAAACTGCAATTTTAAAAACTAGAAAATATAGTGTCACATTGCTAAAATATGCATAAACATGTTTTTTTCAGGCTGCAGATGGTAGTGACAAAATGCTAGATTTGAGATAGGCCAAATACTCAGGGCTAGTTACCAACATTAAGATTCAGTCCTATGTTCTGAAACTATGTGTTTTTAAATGAGAAAGCCTTGCAAAGTTCTCTGCTTACACTATAGGTTTCACATAATTGTATATTTATACTTTGACAAGCATATAAAATTCCCCTTAGTTTTTCTGCCTCAGCTGTTATGGCAGCAGGACAAGTTGGCTAGTTTCAGCAGCCCAACTGCCATGCTTTGATCTCAAATCCAACACGTTCCTGATGTTTAAGTAACGTGTGGTGCTCCAAGAGGTTAATCCTGTAGATGATTAATTTATTACATGTTAAATGAGCTTCTAAAGTACAGTCTAGATAGAGATCTTGATCTCTCTTGTTAATGGTGCTCTGCTAGATGGTACTACTTCTTTTCAGAGAAGAATGCGTTTTTCTAATACATTATGTCATGAAAGAATGTCTGCAGCAAACAAGCTCTCACATTCTGCGTTTTCTCCTGTATTTTTAGAGTTTTGTCTCACATTCTGTGTTTCAGTGGAGACTGACACACACACAGATTCACTGGAACGAGCTTTGCCAAGTTTAGGACCAATTCTTTTTTTTAAAAAGGACTTATAAAAGAGGGTCCTAAGTTTACCTTCGCTATGTGCCACTAGGTGTGTGACTGACACATATGCATCACACAGGGAGCAGCTGCAGTCCTGAGTTTTTATTGCTGCTGATACTGGTTGCAATGCTGGAGCTTCAGAAAAGTGCCTTTCAGGAGGAAAGTATCAACAGCAGCACCTTCCTCATCCTTGAGGCTAAGGGCTTGGGGCTGAGAGACTATTACATGTATGTGGAATTTTTTTTTCCGTCTGGGTTGTATTTGCTTTCTCTCTGCAAATTGTCTCCTGGTAGACTTGCGATAATGCAGTGGGCACCAAGATTTTTTGCCATCTTTCCTGGGGAAATTAGTCACTTGAGTTCATGCTCTATGCTTTTTGGTTTTGCCTAGTAAAATTTAAACCTTTCAAATTTGGAAGAGTGTGGGTAATATGTTCCTATGAATTTCAGGACAGTCAGCAGCTGGTGTCATAAACCCAAATTAATGTTCCCCAGTGAGAAAAGGCAAGGATGGACTACTCAGCAGTTTTCTGTTATTTCTGGCATTAGTGAACTAACCAGTTGGTATGCATACCTTGTTGCATCATAACTGGTACAGTGGATGCTAAGGTTATTGCCTTACGGAAGAAATTTCTGGGATAAAAGTCCCACACATGCTTACAGAGCACATTTGAATCCATGCCACAAGAGGACCTAGTACGTCATTTCTCGTGGAGGCTCACAGAGGCAGGAAGTAAACCCCGAAGTAGAGAAGTAAACTTCTAACTCTGGGTCTGGAAGCTCAGGAGAAGTGCCCCAGGCAGCATGAAAAAAAAGGTTGAAAGGAAATGGGAGGGAGGGTAACTGCGAAATGGGGAATAGAAATGGGCAGGAGTCTGAGAATGGGGAGCTGGCACAATAAGCTTTTTTTTTTATAGGAGACACTTGGGATGACATTTGGAAACAGGAACTTCTCGCTCTTGGGCAGTGGCAATGTCCTTTCTAGGTGTCCCTTGTTCAGACTCCAATTTAAAAAGAAGTTGCACATGCACAGCAGTACTCTGCTTCTGCTGAATTCCCTTCTTTGCTTCATAGTGTCCCTCTACACTGTGATTTAAGTGGCTTGGGCAGGACCCTGACTAATGCCTACCACAGTGTCTTCACTGAATGATTCCTCTCCCAAACAGTTTCTTTCATGCTGTTCCTGCCATAAAAGGATGGAAAGTGAAGCTGAAATTCAAACTCTGGTATCTCCAGAAAAAGTAAATGAGAAGAGCAGCATTACAACCTGGCACCTAGCACAACAAAACCAACATGCCGAGCAGGAAATACACGATGGCCTTAGGACAAAAATGAAAAGAAACCAGAGATTTGTTTTGTTGTTTATTTCCTCTAGATTTCAGAATTAGTCACTTCGATTTTGAATGGGCTTGAAGAAACATTTATCCCCACCATTCAAGTCTTAGGTATTACTCATAGATTCAACTGATTTCAGTGCTGCAGTCTTGACATTGCCTATCACATACATTTGTGGGGTATCCCCACCATTTCTCATCTCTTTCAAGACCTCAGTTGCCATAAATGTGCTGGCAAGCTTTGCCTGTGATCTGCTGACCAGCCAGGCAGCCTGGCAACGAAGTCTTGTAGCTTTCTTTTTTTGTTTGTTTGCTATTGTTTTTAAATTGATTGAAAGGAGAAGTGCTGCGGGCTGACAGGCTGACTCCTATTTTTACCTCTGCCATCAGAGTGGTTCTAAAGAAGTTTACCAACATGGTAATAGGCACTTTAAAAATAAATATCAATATCAATAATATAAATAAATATAAGCCCACTGGCAAAAGGGAAGTAAAGCAAGAAAGAGGTGATGGTGCTGCATGGTAACCAGGCAATATATAGCTTTACAGTAGGACACAAATGAAAAGGAATCCAATACAAAAGGATCTTTCTTCTCTGCAGCTCAGCACAAATACACCTCCTTAGTCACATAACTACAAATGCATGGGGATACCTATCACCTGGCCATACATAGGTAGTCTCATAGTTCATAAACACAATCTTTCAGGAAAATCTTACCTCTCCCATGTCCTCGGTTAGAGAGAATCAAAGATGTACTTTCAGAAATACTATTAGAGTCACTGTAGTCCACGGAGAGTTGACTGTAATCTTCTGTTGACCGACTATAATTCATTAATCTGGACCCTTTGTCTGGAAACAAAAAGGAAATATGGTGAATCACATACTTTAATTATAAATCACTGTATCTGCATGATAACATAAATAACATTTGGCTTGACTAATTTTTGTACAGTCTGCATCTGTCTGTCTTCTAACCCTGACTTAAATTCCTTAAGGACCAAGGAAAGCTTGCCAACTTCATTCTATTACTTTCATAATCTTATTCTGACCCAAAGTACTTCTTCTAGTTCTCCTCAGCCATTCCAAATGAAACAAATCTAACGTGTTAATTCAATTCTACACGTTTAACTGAAAGGTTGCAAAGTGCAGATAACCTGCAAAGTTCTCCTTCCTTGTATTCTGAGACTCAAAACCTTCAGCTGCAAAGTGTTCTTTCTGTGTGCAGGATGGACAGTGCCCAGATACAATCCACTACCAGAGCTGTCGGCAGATCCTGAGTTATTAAAAAGTACATATTTCTGTTACACCCTAACTTTACTTTGGTTGCATTGTCTCTTGTACTTTTCCGTAATCATTAAAGGTGTTAATTCTTTTTTTTTTTTTTTTAAATGAAATGCTGCCTTGAGAAGTGTGGCTTACACATTCTCAATGTAATCAGCATCCCAATTCAGTGAATTCCTTCAGCGAGTGTAAGCAAGATGACCTGAATCTCTGGAAAACACAGAGATCACCCCAGATGCATAATGACTAGAACCAATAGAAGGGACATGGTGGGAATTTGTAGCTAATAGATGGCTGAAGTTGGGACCATCCATTTTGGCAGCAGCGTAGTTTTCACCAGCTTATGCAAGTGTGAATCTATAAGTTCAGTTTCTGAATGAGTGAGCCAATATGATTCAAGAGGTGGTTTGTCTGTATGTTTTTAATTATCTCCTTCTCTTATGACCTGTTATCTCCTTTTCTTATGACTAATAACAGTTAATAGAAATGTTCTGCAAGTATTTAAGTGTGTGTTTAATTCTAGCCGAAGTTAATGTGATTTGCTGAGTAGGAATTGGATTATTCATGTGCCTAATGTTGAGCATATTCAAAAAAAAAAAAGGACTGCATAGCTTGGGCCAGCCTTCCCCTTTCCTCAGAATTAGATTTCTGTTGAAGTGAATAATACCACATAGTGACTAGAAAAAAGAATTATCTGAAGCTGAAGTCCATGTTTAGCTGCAGTTAGAGAATTAGCTTGAGGGATAACAAAATCTTGATCTTGGTCAAATGAAATGTGAAATTAGCATATGCTGTTTTATTTATGTAGTAAGCAGGATTTGGCCTTGTTTCTTGGTATCACTCCAGCAATCCACATCTGAATTTATAAAATGTCTTTTGAATAGAAAAATGGAACTACAATCAAAAAGAAACCACAAATCTTTGCTTGAGCAATTAAATAGGAAGTTTGAATATATATTCCTTAATGGCAACAGGATAACTTCACCTTCAAAAATACACTGGAGTATACGAAGTACAAAAGCAGTTTTGAAAGTAGTGGGGTTTTATATGCACAAGTTTTATGCAAAATGCTTTAAGAGTTGAATGTGTGCAAGTTAATTTGTTATCATTGCTTCACAGCCCTCAGACTACTGTCCTTTGAGGAAATAAGGAACAGAAATCTAGCTGACTTGCCTCAGAGTCTCTCTCTTATGAAGTAATTTGTATGTAAAGCAATAAATATCTTATCCAACACTATGTGTAATCACTACAGCATGAAATTAAACAATTCACCTAGGTTGAGAAAGGCTCAGAAAAGTCTGGCTGTATCCTTATTAGATAGTTCAGATTTTTTACCTTGGTGAAAATTCATCTGGGAGGACAATGGTGAGGTGTCCGATATTTTCTCATGCAGTCTTTTTCTTATTACATGACTTCTGTGAAGCTGAGAGGCTGTGCTCTCTTCGGTGACTACCCACTCTACCTGGAAGACATGAGTACTGCAAGTCAATGTCATATGATATGTGGACTTCAGACTCTCATACTGAAGTGATCCTTGCCCTCTGCTTGTCAGAGACTGCTGATTTGGTTGATATAAGCAACTTCATTTTCTCAGATTAACACAAAGCAGGATTGAATTTCGATGGTTTCGTGTTCTCATGCTGGCTCTGTGTGTGTGTGTGTGTCTGTGAGGCGACATCCTCTGTTACAGTGGGAAACAGTAATAGAGAGCGCAAGGGAAAAGGTCATCTCAGACTGTTAATGAATATCGATTGAAAACAGAAAAAAATATTTGCTGTGTGTTTTCTTCCAGTTTCATTCAGCTTGTCAATAATAAATGTTTGTTGATATTTTGCATCTTGAAAAAGACTCATGTGATCAGGCTTGATTGCATGGCAAATGTTCAGTTTCACTCAAGGATGATGAATGAATTTCTCAGTATGATGTAGATGTGTTTTCTTTGAATTTCAGAAAGAAAATCTGAAACCAGAGTGGCAATGGGGAAACCTTTTCTCTTGTGTGAAGTCCATTCCTTTGGCCAATATGCAGTCTCTGTAAAGGTTATGATTGCTTTGGAATTAACCAAAGAATTGAAGATACTGTAAGTGCAATAGCTGAATTTGTATAATTTCCCAGGAGTGTGAGAGTGGTGTGAGAGATGGCTTTGTTGTCTCATCTGCTTGTACACACACCCACTCAGTTGTCTGCTTAGAAGCTGAGAACCAAATTTCACTTCATTAATTCATACAAGCATTAATTTCAAGCAATTGCTTACCTATATCCCTTGTTGCTGCTCACCTCTCTCACCATAGAAAAGGAGATGATTAGAGTATGAGAGTAGTACCTACCTCATTGGCACTTCCCACAGCAAACTGGACCATTTTCTTTATGTAGACACTTGCTGGTAAGGAAGCCGATTCCTTCTGATGTGCCTCACATGCTTCCAGAATTGACTCAGGAGAAAGTCTTTTACGTGGCAGATCTTCACATAGTGTCAGCAAGAGCATGTGTAGTTGGTCACTCAGCTGGAGGGACTGAGTCAAAATGGAGATACTGTTAAAAGACATCTCCCAGTGCTCTGAAATCCTGTGTAAGCCAGGACCAGGAATTTCTGAAAGCCTTTTACCCTGAGGCAGAAATGGGCACTGAATTCCTTTAGACTTCGAGAATTTTCCAAACAGGCAGCATCACAACACTAAACAGAGCTTCTAATGGGATCCAAGATAGTCTAGGAGGGAACTGGCAGCTACAAGGAGGGTCATCAGCCCACATAGTGTCTTCCTCGTGACAGACAACAGCTCAGCCTGCCCCATAGCTTTGCTAATTAGATTGTGGATCTGGAAGATTCATGCAAGTAAGACATGTGGCAGCATTAGCTTCAAAATAGGTGAGGAGTTACACCAGCCAAAACGGTTGCTATAGACACCAAAGACTTAAATTTTAGTCATTTAGCTTATAGAGCCTTTTCTATTAGCCCATGTATACCTTTGAAAGGAAGGATAAATCTACTAAAAGCTTGCGCTGTCCAAATCAAAAAACATGCAATCAAAGGCGTGGATATAGAAATTAAGCAAAATGTGTGTCACAAATCTTTGAAAGGATTCTCGGTAAGCAAGAAATGGAAAATTTGAACTAGCAAAGACAGTGGTAGAATGTGCTCAGAAATAAAGAGAGTTATTTAGTTTTATTTCAGCGTCCCGCTCAAAAAAGCACATAAATGTGCACCCACAATCATGCCAACATGATTTTAGTCCTTTTAGTCTTTCCTATCTTCGAATCATTTAGGTTGGAATATACATTTAAGATCATCAAGTCTATCAAGAAACAAAGTCAAGATGAGGCCTAACTAAATCGTTGATTTGTATGAACTGGTATTTTTGGTGAAGCCTGGACAAGCTTTTCAGTGCTTTCTAGTGGTCCAAAATATAAAGCCCCTCTTACTGAGATGTCAGATTATGCCTTTCGGTCTTTGAACCTACCAGCATATAACAGAATAAAAGAAAACAAACATATGTATGTAACTGACCTGATTTGGAGGAACCTGGTAGTCTGCTGACCAATAGAGGGTCATTCCTAAGGAATACACCAACATCTGTCAAAACAGAAAAATAAACCCTTTATCAAGTCAGTATTATGTACAGAAAAATCTTGTGCTAGAGAAACCATCTTTTTCTGTCTTTGGTCACAAAATGGCAGAAGCCAAACTGGTAATTTTTTTTTTTTTTTTAAAGAATAGACTAGAAGAAACATATATAAATACAGTAGTGACTCTTGGCTTACCGACTAGAGAGCGTGCAATGAGTGTTGTTCAGCTTGAGGTGGTGAGCCAGGCTGCCCTCTGGCCAATGAGCTCATGAGCAGAAAAAGAAATTTGAACTCCTCTCTCAGTTCTGAAGCTCTTTCATTGCTGATTAAAGCTCTCCCCTACATGTGGGACTGAGTAGCAGTCATGTCCAGGAGGAGGATTACTGGAGTTAGGGCCATCTATTCCAAAGCTTCATGCTTCTGCATAGCATCTAAGTGATCCATTATGTAGGAGTCTGAACTACTGTGTTCTGCCTGAGGGAAGTATGTGTTAATATGGTCCTAGTGATATTTAAAACTTTTAGGTACCTGAGTGTTCTATCTTACTGTCTTGCCAGAGAGTCTTATTTGGCAGCAAGAAGGAGTAAATCGTTGAAAAAGCTGAACATATTTCTGACATCCTGGGCGTGCTTCCACTCTCTAGTTGTATCAATAGTGCAGTCTTGCTGCTTCTGGGATTACACTTACCATATCTAGTCAAACGTCATGTTCATAGAATTATTGTTCCTTTCTGTGGGCCTTTACACATAATAAATTTCTGCAGACCTTGAGGACTGATGTTCAGAATTGAGTCTGATATGGACATGCATGCTAATCTAATGACTAGCTGTAAGATACATTTAAATCTTTTTAACTGTAGACTAACTTGCTTAGTGTTGTTAGAAATGGAGTTTAAGAGTAGATACCTAGTACGCTTCATTAAAACCCACAAGCTTGTCTTTGTGAGATTCTGTCAAGATTTATTTTGTAATATACCTCACCTTTGTTAGTCCAGTGCGCTGGTTTTTACTTTGCCTTTGGAACAATTCTGGTGCGCTGAAAGGGACAGCTTCTGTCTGAGATGCATTGTTTTGGAAGGACAAATTTCCTTCAGCAGACAGTAGTACCGACCATGGGCAAATCACACAGATGGCAGGATCTGAAAAATGTTGAAAATAGTGGAGTTCTTAGTGTTCACATCACTGCGCCCAGAAAATCATATTGCTGGCATCTCACCTGCATAGCCAAACCCATCACTGAAGCTTCCTGGAGATGTACCCAGAAGGCAGTGGAATCGTGTTCATTTATGCCTGGCTGATTTTGTCAGCTGGAATGCGCTGATAGTTAAAGACTTTATTTCTCTCTTACGTCATTTCATACATATAAACAATATATTGATTTCAATGGAATTCTGAAGCCTAAAAAAAGGCAGAATTACATCCCATGTGCAGATTCTGGAGAGCTGGACATTTACGGTAGATCTTTTTATGCAAAGCACAAGAGAATATCAGAAAATACTCTTTCTAACAAAGCATGAATACTTTGAAGCTGGCCTTTACAAAGGACCTTAATTTAGGTTCCATTAAGTTGCATGACCATAGTACAAGTCTCTTTTCTGTGGTATTTTTTTGTTCTGTGTGCTGCTTCTAGTCAGTCAGCTCTGCATTTTAGCAACCTATCTTTCAGTCTTTTGTGTCAAGAAAAGCCAAGTTACTTTTCCAGAAAGTCAATGTCAGGAGTCAGTATCTTTTTATTTTCATTGTACAGATGAAGTAATTGATGCAGAGCCCGGCTTTGATGACTACACTGTATCAGTCAAAAGAAGCTGGGGTATCAGTGGAAACAAGTCCCAGTGCTGTAACCTACTAAGCTTTTCTTTAAGTGGAAGCATCATTTCAAACTAACATGAACTTCGAGATTTTTTCTACCAGAATGTAAATATGAAAACTATCCGAATTAAAACTTAGACCATGTTATACCAGGAATGTGAAGAGCCATGATATTCTAGCATTATTCACATCCAGTCTTTCTGTCTGCATGTCATTTCTGTTAAAAGAGAGGGGATACTTCAAATGGAAGTGTTTTCAAATAATAAATGTAGACTCCTAAACCTGATAATGTCCTGAGGACATTAATAGGTCCTAACAGGCCTGGCCGGCCTCAGCTGGGACCTACTTTTACCTATAGTGCCAGGTGCCAGTTAAGCTCAGCCCAGGGCCTTGAGTCCCTGCCTGAGGTATGGTGTAGCAATGCCTGTCTCCCACTCAGCCACAGCTGTGCCTTGCCTGACTTTGGATCTCACTGATCCCAACCCACAGACTGACTTCCCAGCCTGACCTCAGACTTGCCTTGTCACTGTGGACTTGCCAAGTGATCGCTGGGCTGTCTGACCCTGGTTGCCCACACCAGACCTGATCCTGACGTGGCTTCCCAACTTGACCTCAGACCTGCCTTGTCACTACAAACTTGTGAGGTGGTCTGGACTCTCAGCTGTCAGTCCCAGACCTGCCCTGTTTGCTTTATTTGGGTAGTAGGGGATAGGGCCCTAGCTGGCACAGGCCCTGCCTTGCCACCCATGTCCCTTAGGCAATAGCTTGCCTTTGCTGTTGCCTGGAAAACTATTTGAAGGTGTCTCAGTAAGGGACAGGATTCTTCTTGTAAAGGGCTGAGCACTCTTTAAAAGTATCATTGTGGAGATCCACTGAGGTCGGTACCAGTGGTCTGAAGCAGGAGTGGAAGCATGAGGATATGAATCTTTTGCAAACACTCTGCAGTTTCATACACATTCAAAGTGAATTGCACATCTATGATTTTGTTAAAATATGCATTAAAAAAGCCTGATAAAAAGCACCTAAGGTCAAGAGATCAGGAGAGTGTAGTGTCAGCTTAGCGTCTGGCACTGAGTTACTGATCTGTGATGGACCTGAGCTTCCAGGTGGGCAACTCCGTGCTGCTCTCCTCTGCATGTTCCTAGTGCCTGTCTTGTCTGAACTGTTCTATGCTCTTGTTCCACTAGATAATAGAGAACTAACAGTATCATCAATCTGCTATGGTGTTCCAGTCTATTAAAAACTAGTTGATAATAAAAGTTCATCCCTCTAGCTATAGCAGAAGTTGCACAGAACTTGTTTTCAGTATTTTGTGTTTTCTACATGCTCACGAGGTAAGAATACATCTCATCCATTCTGCTCTCGAAAGGAATACACATTGTCATAAACAGTTCTCAAAATGTGACAGGTTGCTCAGCTGTGCTTTCTTGTACAGCTGGCCTGCTTGGCAAGCATTCATCACGGTGATTTGCCTAGGCATTATGATAAGTCACATTATTATCATCAAAGATAAAAGTCTTTTACTAGCTGAATGAGGAGCCATGTGGATTTGCCTGTCCTCCTCTGTCAGTACATGAAGGACACGATCCCAGCTGGCACTGCTTTTTCTGTGTTTATGTGTTATTCAGGCTTCAGGAAGAACTCTTCTGTCTTTAGATGAATTAATATCTGATGTGTAATTCGGAAAAAAAAGCAAAAATTTGTATGAAGATATCTTATGTAGGCAGAACAGTCTGCATGTAATCCCAGCAGCACTGAAAGATTTCTCATTTTTATTAGCAATATGCTATCATTGCCATTAGGGCTTTTTGTCTCAAAAACCCCTCAACCACCTCAAAAAGCTAAAATAACTCAAGAAGGAATTTCCAACAGTGAGAACTATAAGAAGATACTTTTCACCTCACCTTTGTTAAGGTCTTCCAGAAGCTGCACTGTGGCCAGGTACAAGAGTGACCATATTTCTTCTTCCTCTAAAGGGCTTCCTTTTGCCCATAGGACCTCGGCCAGTGTCACACAGGAACTGCTCATGCCTGCTGCAATAGAAACCAGATTTTGGACATACTAACATAGACTGAAGTGCTCAAAGCACCATACCGATGACAACTGTACCCTTCTCTCACTGGAAGAAATATTTTGCCAACCACCCTGCTTCTTTGTCATATAAATTAGGTATCGTTCATCTCTATTTTAATCTCAGTAAGAGTAAATAAAGGGAACTGAACTGACTTCCTGTAATCATTTTGAGTCCTTTTACTCATCATTTGGAACCAATCAGAAGATTCCATGGGACAAACAGTCTTCATTCAGGATATCCTTCATGAATATGTGCTGTGCAGTCTTTGTGAGTGGTTATCTGAATGGTAGGGCATTGATTTTGCTGTTTACTTGGATGTCTATAAAAACGTGACAGAGTTAATCTAAGACATGAGAAAATGGCAAACCAGAAGAGATGCACCATAACATGAAAGGTTTATAAATGTAGTCCAACAGAAAAATTGAGTTTCATTCATTGCTCAGCACATTGATCAGTAAAAGCATGTAGACTCTTACTGAATTAATTGATAAGAGATTTTCTTAGTCAGATACCTGTAACTCAGAACTTGCTGTTCATCCACATCAATACACATATAAACTTGCTTTATTTCACTAAATGAAACTACAAGATGATTCCCTCTGTGAGCTGCTGAATAGCAATTTAGTGGCTCCCGTCATGCTGTCCTATCTGATAGGTACACAAGACCTGGTGTAATGCAGAAGAATGTTGGTTCACACACTCCCCCTGCTTTGTCTCAGCTGCAGTGCAGCATCAGATCATTTAGAGAAAGGCATCCTGTAGTGAATCATAATTTAAAGCCTTACCTGTTGAAAAAGTATTTTCCTAATCCCAGCTAACTAGAAATTGACTTGTGACTTGAAGCATAAAGACTTCTTTTCCTCTGAATGTTTTATCTTACTAACTATTGTCAAAGGCTTTGTTCTTCATAAATGCTGCATCTGACTTTTCCATTTCGCTAGTTTTACATTTCTGTAATTTACTAGACGAGGCAGAGCTACTCTAGGTCTACATATCTGTAAGGAAAACTGAATCTGCGCTTAAAATTTACTAAAATTTTTGACCTTAGTTTATGCTTTTACTGTTACTATCCTGTAGCAGTAAGCTCCATAGATTTGTCATATGTTGTGTAAATAAGGGCATAATGTGAAAAGTTGGAAGTGATCCATCTGTTGCTTTGAGGTTTTGGCATTGTCTGTGGACCACCAAGTGAAGACACTAGAGCCTAGGATGCTATCGTCATATGTGGGATTATAAACATTATTAAAAAATTACTTTGCTTACAGCCTGAAAATAGATCTTCAACCCTAACCATTTCCTCACCCACTTACTGCTACCATTTGCTCTCATCCTGCAACAGAATTTGTTGTGTCTTAATTCTTTGTTAGCTTCCCATTTATTGTGCAGTCTTCAACAGGTCACTGCAAGAGCATTATAATGTCAGGACCAACTTGTTGCTGATTAATAGATTATTCCGATTTGTTTCATGGGGGCTTGTCCTGGCTCACTAGCTTCAAACAAGGAATCACAACATTGCAAGAACAATCCCTTGCTGCAATCACTATGGGATTATAGACCAACCTAGTGACATTTTAAAGAGAACCAGGGTCCTAATTTTAGCCTTTGTAGCTTCAAAGGATAGTAAAGCTTCTTAAGAACCTAACCTTAATTAGAAGAGACAGACAAATCTTCTTAATCTAAGCCATCACCATTTCTCTTAATAATAAATTACCGTGATAGCATTTCACTTAACCCTGTGGTACTGGGACTAAGCAATCAATTCACATCTGCAGAGCTAGAATCTGTGTGGGTAATTTACCAGCCTGTACTTAGTGCTGGTTTATTTGACACTGTACTGGGGAAAGGAAATCCTCTATTTTAGTTAAAAGTGCTTATACTAAGTGATTTCAGTGCTGAAATTTTTAACTAGCTTAAGTTACTCAGTAAGCAACTATACAGAGTGCAAGTGTTACAGAGCCAAAGTGAAATCAGCAGTTACACCAGAGCTGCTTCCCTTTTGCAGTGAATATTTTTTCTAAGCATGAAAGATCAGTAACAAGGATGAATTAAATTAATTCTGCTAGGAATGATGTGTAAAATTCTTCCAAAAATTATTAGATTGTATGGCCATGGAAAGCATAATCTCTTTAAAGTGTAATAAATTATTGCCTTAATGCAACATAGAGTTAACTAGTGGGTTATTTTACAAGCAAATTGGCAACTGATTTTTAAAAATCATCAGAATGCAATCTAGTTTTGGGTTATGTTTTTGCCTTTTGGTTTTCAAGACCAGCATGATGTGATATTTGACAAAAATATAACTGTATGAGCTCTTGGGGAAAAAATACAGTTGATCTCTTTTTACAGTCAGGCTACACTATGTATGTGATATGAGAGTAAAAGTGATATAAAGATATTGATATCATTGTAGCACTGCACATATTCATGGTCCCTCAATTTAGTAAAAGCTGTGATCCAGACCCAAACAATTCTCACCTTCAGATAAGCTACAACTGATAAGGGAAAGCAGACAAATTAAGAGGCAGGGAGGAAAAAGTTAACAATAACCTTGCAAAAAGGGACTTGATTGTTTGCAGTAACGCTACACATCAGGAAATTATGCTGGATCAAGTTGAGTCTGCAGGGAAAAATTAGAGCAGCAGAATGTAATCACCCGCTTTGGAGTGTGGCCAGGATGTAGAGATTAACGATTTTGTGCCTGGGAAAAGTAGCCAATAAAAATTGGCTTCCAGGGCAAATTTGTGGTCTGAGGTCAAAGCCAAATCTTCTGCTGACTTCTGTGGAAGAAGGTAGTGCCATCCTAATAGGAAAATCAACCTGAAATGTCCTCCCCATTCTAAACTTTGCCACACATCCATTAATTATGTGGACTGTCTCAAGTCAATAGATTTTACCCTGCAAGAATTTAATCTACTCTTCTTGCACAAATATGAAAAGTACACTGAGGTGAGGCTAACCCCTCATTTTGTCACAAACATCCACCTATTTATCATATTTCTTTCTAAATTATTTTATTCTGTTTTGGTGCATTCTATTTTATCATACATGTAAGCTTTATTCCAAACAGTCATTGAAATCTAGGGTCAGTAAAAGAAATTTAATTTATTGTAAAAGAAAGTGAACTACAGCTTTGCATCTGAATTTAACACTTAATAACAATCACACACTAGTAATTTCATATGCCAGGGTCACTTTATGTGCAATTTGGCTTTATTAGATTTGGCAATCTTATTTAGTAAAATCTAACAGAGCAAGTTGGCTTTTGTCAACCTCATTGTTTACTTTTGCTGCTTTGTTGACTGTATAAAGACAACAAAAGAGCTAAAAACTATTACTTTTGTAAGGAAACTGACCTCACCTTATCAAACACAGTCATGTGAAATAAACATCCTGAAGAGGAACAAATGCGTTTAACAGCCCTTTTGATGCAAGCCTGTCAGAGGGAGTTTACTGAGGAGTTGGTTCAGGTGTAGAATCAGTTACTGTGGCACGCAAGTCTTACCCATCACCTGGATGATGGTGAAAAATCAGATAAAGAAGGGAGCTCACAGGGATGGTGAGGAAGGAGCAGTCATGTTTAGGTTTCGAAAATCTGGGGTCAAGTTTGTTTCTAGTCTACTTTTAAAGGCATGAAGCAGGAACAGATTTGCCCATTTGGGCATCCTGAAGAACAACTGGAAATGAGAGCTTTGACAACAAGTTTGTGTATGAACAACAAAAAAAGGATTAACCAAGCATTCTCTGAACTGGAAAGGCTTCTGCCAAACTAGAAATGCCTTTCAATTTTTATTCTCTGGAAAATGTTCTTGTAAAGGTCTTGTCTTTCTTTTGACTGAACATCCAGTTCTGGGTCATTACTCTATCTGTATATAGCAAAATACCTAGCTGGAAACTTAGCCAGCTTTTAAATTGCTGAACAGACATAGATTTTGTAAATAGTGTGTGAGAAAGGTTATTGCCTATTTATGATTTGGACATAATTGCCCATCACAGCCCCTCTCCTAGAGGCGACTAGTTGACATGAGCGAGCCAGAGGGGCCACCTCAGTCAGTCCTCTGACAGATCTGAGAGGTTGCCAACCTCAGGCACCCCTCTCATGAGGACAGTATGAGTGTAGGCTTGCACTGACAGGCAAGTGAGAGTGGGCTTGGCGTGTAACCTTTTCCATCTGCACCACTGTATACAGAAAAAGTTGTCTACTCAAAACCATATGTCTAAGCTGATGTAAACCCACTGCACATGAAGACACATGAGGTTGGCTAACACTGGTTTCGCTTAATTTAACCACTCTGCTGTGTGGTAGCATCTGAATCTCCACCAGTCAATTTCAAAGTCAGCTTTAGAGACCAGGAACTGTTTCTTCTAGCGTGGTGTTGAAGGACACACCAATAAAATGACAAGTCTACACAAGTCCATTAAAAGATGGTCTATAGCCAACTTTCTTTAGATACAGTATTTTTTGTAGCCTTCTGTCCCTTTCAGCTGTTGCACTCCAATTTCTCAGGTGTCCAACAGTTCACTTTAGGCTGCAGGTGCTGCCTGATAGTCTAAAACTACCTCTTGTTAAACAAATGACCAAAACCAATGTCCCAATCCTGCTTCATTATAGCCAGTTCCAAAACTTCTTGTATCAGTGGCAGCAAGGTGAGGTGGGGGAAAAAACCTTTTTGGAAGTCAAGATTCAGCCAGAGGACCTCAGATGTTATTCTGCAAGACATGAAGCAGTCTGCTTTCAAATCTGAACTGATTAAATGCCAGAAAAGATGGGAACTTGAAGTGATGTTGGAGGGCTAATATACTGATTTTAAGGGCTGAAAAGGGGTCCACAGCAGACAGATTAGCAAGACCCTTGCTAATTCTTAAAGACCTTTTTAGAATGAAGAGCAGTTAGAAAAATGCATTTTTAGTTAGCATCCTTTTACGTGACATGAGGTGCTGGACAATGGGTTAATTC